TTCAAGGTCAGGTTTTACCTCCACATCCAATTAATCTACCCACAAAGCAGAGATAATTTTCCAGTGATGTGACCAAAAAATTACATACTTTCACCCCACAACTTTCTTTTTTCGCCCCATTGAAACCTTTACCATTAGGTATCACATTCACCTGTTGTAGCAATTCCCAGCTTAAAAGGGATTAAGTCAGCAGCCCTAAACTCTTACTGATAAACCTACTTTACGAAGCCCAGCAAATTCCAAAATATCATCTTTCAAATGAATTTTAGGCTTCTTCGGCCAGACTTTTCCCCCATTTTTCACTCTCTGATCACCATTAAAATTTGAGGCTGAATTATGGATTTTATCAGCTCTTCCAAGCTAGCTCAACAGCCCCAAAATTGCTAAAAATGCTTCAGAGAATTCTTCGTATTTTAGATGTCATATAAACTTGATGCCTTTTAGAAGTCGGGTTTTATTCCTCAAGAACTACATTATTCCTCAAATTTACTAATACAATCTCGTAACTAATTGTAACTACTTAAGTAACTGCAAACTGCTGAACAAATCCTGTATCTCAGAATCCTGACTACTCCTGTCCTCATTTTACTTGTCAGTGCTTCCTGAATTTCATCCATTCATTGCTGTTTCTGGAAATTTTCAGGCACACTAAATTTTTAGCTGTTCTATTTTATCTATTCCTGTCCTTACTTTTCAGTTTCTTTTCCTCCACATCTCTTGTAATTTTGGGTGCTTTTTGATAAGCCTGTTGTGCTGGAGCTCCTATTTAGATGAGTCCCTATCTTAACAAGAAGTAACTAAAATATTATGGAAAAGAGCTCATGAGAGAAGGAAGGACAGCTACATTTATCTCCATCAACTCCTAACACAGAACTAACTCAACTATGAAACCCCCTTCTTCCTTTGCAGCCAATTACCTCATGGCCCACCATTGTTTTCTTCATCTCCTGCAGCACTTCCCTGCTCGCACTTGGTTTTGCCCTGGAAAATCTTCCCCATCATTGCATGAGAAATCCAAAAAGAACATTCTGATAGAATTTTTCAGTGTTTTTCTTGCAGGAGAAATAATACAGAGGACCTCTCAGTGGTTGATTTCTGGACATGTGTTTATATAACATGAAGCACACAGTGGATTTTCTTTCTAAACAAAATAAGACACTGTTCTTCTTTCAGATAAACAGATACGTCAGAATTTGACAGCAATCATATTGCTTTCAGGCTAAGAATTCCACATGGCTTCAGGTCAAGACTTCCAAACCCATTCTCCATTTGTCTTAAATGTGGAACAGGAGGCTTCTCTCTATTTAGGAAGCTGCTTTATTTTCTGTTTTCAAACAGATGTGTTTTTTAACTGCAAACACGAGCTGACAACTCCATAAGGCTTTTGCTGTTGTCTTTCCTGTTCTTACTGGCTTTTTTACAAATCCACAATGCAGATGTATTAACAATAGTCTCTAGCACACACACACCCCAATAGTGCAAATGGGAAGCAGAACTCCAGGAGGAAACTTCCAAACCAATGTTCTTCTTCAGGGTGGATTTATAGTAAGTTTCATTATTTAGAAACCTTCTTTGGTCTTTAAACTGCTAGTGTACCATGGGATTTACTTACTCCCTGAGATTCACACGCAGGTAATATAACTTGAAGACTGTGTTTTTCAATTCCTACACATATCAGTGGCAGAACTCACTGGTCTTCTTGGTTCTTTCTTCACTGACAAAGAAGATGTAATATTCTGACAAACTGCCACGATTTGGAGGGTTTACGCCAGAACCAAGAAGGAGCTGAGCCTGACAAGTATTTTTACATTTATTCAAATGGTGAAATTTTCCTTGCATCACTCGTTCATTCTTCTTCCTCTTGCACTGCAGTGCAGCAAAGCCTCCTGCTACCATCCAGACCTCGTGTGGTATAATATGGTCTTTTAACACTTAAAAACGTTTTCTTAAGTTATCTTTGACAGAACAACCCAATTGGAAAAAAAGTCATACTTGATGTGCTAGCACGGCTGAAGGACCAGCTGAAATGCCTGATTAAAAAAAATCTTAAAAATTAACTGTTAACAAGCCATTCCCAAACCTTTAAGCTCAAATTTCTCCATCAGTGACTCCCAGTAAGAGTCTGATTTTAGTTCACAGAAGGGTACTGAGCATCTCTGGACACAATGCTGTCACTCATGTTAGAATAGGATCCAAAAAGGCCTCAAAAACTGTAAGCGAGGGACAGATTATACGTCACTGTAAAATCATTATATTCATTATGTATTGCAAACATAACTCAAAACTTGTGTAATAAACACGTAAACGTATTGGCTTTCGCAAATTATAGGCGTGGTTATGTGGATATAACTGTACCAGTTTACAGTAACAGAAACAAAGCTCACTAAAGATACAAGATTAGACAACAAGTTAAAAAGGGCCAGAACTCTTCATCAAAATGGATTCACATAGCAAAAGAATTTGTAAAGGTAAAAGAAAGGGGGGGGGGGGGCTTGGTATAAGAAAAGCTAGTGCCTGAAAAACATAGAGTTACAGTACTTTTTAGCTTAACTTAGGTTGTAGAAAGAGAACATTTACGTTGTAAGTCTGTGGAATGCAGTGGCCACACTAAACATGAATTAATAGTTTCACACTATAGTATCTTCTAAAGTATCTTTAAAGAACAATGCTTGTGTTGTAAGTCTGTGGTGAGATAACAGGATTTAGTGGCCCCACTAAACATGAATGAGTTATTTCACACCATCCTTCTACTTACCAGTTAGTTTAGAGACAGTGCCTCCCAAACATCTGCTAGCTTGGGATACTCCTTGTCTGCCCATCCTGCAATAAATTTTGCAGGAAGGTCACACTATTTTAAATTATTGCTAGTTATCAGAAGAATTACAGATATGGCTGGTTTCAGCTAGCTGTGCGATTACTGGGGCGTCCAACTGTGCCAAAGGTGAAAAGTACACTGTGAGGAAGACTGCTTACTTCATCCTCAAGACCCCTGCCCACAATCACTGGAAAGCAGTGTGCAGACACCAACAGGAGGGGACTTATGATAATAAGTTCTGGGAGTTAGTCAGAATATTCCCCACCTATATGTGGGAATTATGAATATGTATGTAACTAATGTAATAGTGAAAGTATATAAACCTGTAACAAATGCTAATCACTTGTGCCTCTGGCTACAGTCACGCGCTCAGTGCTGTTGCTATAAACGTGGCTCAAATAAATTGACGAGAGCCAGACCAATGAATCAAATTGGTTTATTGAGCAAGCGACAGCAAGCAAAACAGCGCTGGGCGGCCGGGGAGTCTCTGCTCCGCCAACGGCACGCAACTCACTTCCCCAAAGTCCCCGGTTTTATACTCTTCTTCATCCGATATATGTGTCACTTCTTGGCGTACTCTGCGTCTGTGTGGCCTGTTGATAAGGGGTCTCATTCTGCCTCCTGGTGGGTGTGGGGAGGAAGGCTCCTTATCACCTTCCCCATACATCGTTTACTTTAAAGGATGCCGGCGGTCTATAAGCAAAAAGTCAAAGCGTCGCAATTTTCCAGTAACTCTTAAGCAAGCAAGATTTGATTAACAAACAGGAATTTACTCATCACACTGTTGCTTTTGCTTTATTGACTTTGTCCCTCAATAAAACCTTGTTATCTTGTTTAGAGGAATGAGCTCTTATTTCACACTTGGTTTTCCCCTTATGATGCCACAAAGATGAAGAAAAAAAAGTAAATTTCTGGGTTGGAAAACAAGCAGCTAAATATAAGGTTGAATTTGTTGATGTTGTGTAATATTGCCTGACTAATTCCAGCCACCAAACATTTCAGCTGTCCCCCAACAGGTGTAAAGCAGTTTCAGTTTGTACTTCTGCACAAACTATTTGGAGAGTCTGAAACCCTTGAGTATTACAGCTATGCCATTCTTAAGGACCAACAGTCCAACTTAACTCTTTTGTCCGCATAACTGCAAACTTTCCTTCCAAAATGATGCGCAACTGTACCATCACTGATCTCTTTGCCAGCCTCTGGAACCAGAACCTTCTGATGCCATAAGCACACATTTAAACTTGTAGCATACACAATGAGTGACAAACCCCAGGACTGAATATTCAAGAACTCGTTTCTTCAACATCTCCTACTGCTGAACAAGTTAACCGTATTTCAGATTTCACCCACTTTCACTATTCAAATTTAAACAGAGTGTGGCTGAATATTCCTTTTAAATTGTAAATGACAAAACCACGTACCACTGCTGTGGATGCCCTATAGAACGAACGCCCACACCCCACCCCAAGGGTGACAAAGCAGAGCTGTGCGCAAGAGAAGGGCAAAATGACACCAACCGCCCCCCTACCATAACAACGGAAGGTCGGACAGACAGGAGGCGGCCCTGGCCGCTCATGCACGCTCCCCTCAAGGCTGCCCGGGCTGCTTCTGGGCAGGCGCCCGGGCCCTCTGCGCCGGGGCAAAAGAGCCGGCCCGGGGCACTCGCTCCCGGCCTTCCCCCGCCACCCTGAGGGCTCTGCGGGCAGCAGGGAGAGCTCACGGCAGAGGAAGCCGCCGCGGTGTGAACGGGACCGCTCCCGACCGTTAGGGCTAGAGGGGAACCGAGGTGCAGCGCCGCAGCCACAGAAGGCTCCCCGCCTCTCGCGGTGCCACAGCGATCAGCCCTCGGCCACACCGCGGCGCTGACCCCACCCCGGCTCGGAAGAAGGCCTGGGGCGGTGCCGGGCGGCCGCAGCGACCTCCTGCGGGTAACCGGCGTTGGTGCGCGGGAAGCTATTAAGAGAGCAGAGCCGGTGCTGGTATGAAGGGCTGTGCCGCTCTCCCCCGGTGTCAGTTGTGGCAGCCGGCCGGCGAGGCGCTGGCAGATGTCGCTGGAGGTCCACGCTTTGCCAGCTGCCAAAGAAAGACCAACTCCGGCCTGGAGCCTGGGGTGCTTCCGCACAGACCTCCCAGGCACGGACCGTCCTGCGGGTGACCCTGGGCAGTGCCGGGAGCTGCTGCAGGGCTTCCACAGCAGCAGGAGCTCTCCATTGCATCCTTCCTCGGGCCCAGTAGCAAGGCTGAGTTATAGTTTTCCCTTTTCAGATCCGAAACAGCTCTTCCTGTGAACATCAGGCACTGCTAATTGTAGAAGTGTCATTTTTAGTTGCAGATGGTCACACAGAAGCTGAAGACCCAGCTGACCTACAAACAATGTTGGAAGTAAGCTGATTTGATTCTGGTGGGAGACAGGAGCAGGAACGACTGGGGTAGTGTCTGAGCTAGCAGGATTTCCATAGGGGGTATTTATTTCAATAGATGGATGTGTCCAGTGTCAAAACACTGCTGTCAAAGTGGCCAGCACAAGGCTGCACCAGGTCAGCTCAGGCTCACTACTGACAATGGCAGGTGCCTTACTTCAGGAGCTGCTCAGGTGAAGTGTTAGTTCTCAGTATTTACAGACTTATGTAATTTAATGCTAGTCTTTTTTACATTGCTCAGCAAATGCAAAGTGGTTAATACGAATAAGATCAGTATAGTTGCATAACTTACGTATACAATGTACAGTAGTACTGGTTAATATGAAGATCAGTATAGTTGCATAACTTACGTATACAATGTACAGTAGTACTTCTGTGCCTGCCCTTCTTCTTCCTGTTCTATATGTTTGAGAATTTTCTCCCAAAGCAGTACCAGTGGAAAGCCAGAAAAATTCTGCTGTATGCATAATATAACTTGGGTTAATGCAGAATACTGGAGTTTCCCTTTACTAATCCGAGAGAGAGTCCAGCTTTCTTACTCTGTGCAACCTGTACACCACAGTCTGTACACATTTGTGGAACCGGAGTAGGAATTCTAACAGGAGCACATTTGGCCTCACTGCAAAGATAAAGATATCAGTAAAATCAGTAATGCCAGACATGACAGTGCTTACTGTAACACGAGCAACTCTGTGAGGTACTGTGTGAAATCCTTCCAGTAGTGCAAGTAAGTTTTTAAAAGGCTACTGAATGGTGAAAGAAGCATTTGATGAACTCCCGTTGACCCAGGCTGGCTGACAACAATCCTGGAACTGGAAAAGAAATACCATTTCCACATACAAAATATCCTAGCTTACCTCAATATTTAAAACAAAACAACAAAACCTCTACATACCCATTTTCTGATACTTATTTTATACCTTTTAGATTCTTCAGCAACAGCTGGCATCATCTCAGAGGTTTTCACAACAGACTTTAAACCCATCACCCCTTGTCCTCTCACTACAGTCCTTGATGAAGAGACTCCTGCATCCTTGTAGGCCCTCTTCAGATATTGGAAGGCTGCTATGAGGTCTCCATGCAGTTTTAAATAAGATCTAATCTTAGATGACTGTGTACATTAAATATACAGTTTACCATCTGTCCGTCTTAAAATAGCTGATAAGATAATCTCACTCCTCAGTTCTTGCTTGCTCTTAGACACAGTATTTTTTGGGAGGTTTTAAAAACTCTTTTAATACTTCAGAAAAACAGAAGAAAACCCCAACTGAGCTAGGAAAAAAAAAAAGGAAAGACTGAATCTTTCTCTCATTCCTATCCCTATAAACTCAAGGAAGCTCTGTTGTTGCCAAAAAAGTTAATTTCACGTCCTGCCCCTGTCAGCAGAACCTGTTCTACTCTTGCAAACTGCCATGTTTGACAGAATGCTAAGCCACCTTTTTCAGGAGCATTTTCCTGCCATCATTTTATCTGGTTCTTTAGATAAAAGCTTAACATCCGATGCTGGAAGGACATTCAGCTTTACACTTTGTTGGTTATAAACAATTCCATATTCCTATGCGCCAGTTCCATTTGGTCTGTCCTTCCTAAGAGAGAGCTTCTTGAGTAGTAGGATATTGTTGGAAAACAGAGTATTTCTACAGTCAGGTTTTCTGTAAACAATCTCAATCTTTTTCAGGTACAGTCTAAAATCCACAGGATACGAAATAACAGTAGACTTGAAATGAAAACTCCACCACATAGCTCAGATAAGATTCTGATGACTTCCACACCAAGTGATGCATGTAGGTGTAACAATTTTTATCCACAAACAAGTTACTCTTTAGCTGGACTCTGGGTTTTGAGAATGCCATGGATCTTTGGAAAATAACCTGTGGATAGTCTGGGTTTAAGCAAGAAAAGCAGTATCATCTTCCTGAGATTTTTCAGGGTAGCAGGACCATAGCCAGAATTATATATACTATTCCCTCCTGCCCATTAGGATGAAAACTCCTGTTCTGCACAGGTAAAACTGTTACCTGATCTTGTCCACATTAATTGGGATTCTCTTCAGTGGACATGGAATGCAGTGCAAAGCATGTAGGGAAACAGGGCAGAGAGTCAAGGAGGCAAGAGAGAGAAATGAGGACAGGGAATACATTTTGTCCCTTCCCTGTGAAATGCTGCATAAACCGTTTTTTCTGTTCCTATGTAGCGTGAACTCCAGTTTGCCCTCATTTCATAGGGACTGGGATGACAAAAGCAGTCAAGGACAAACTATTATAGTCTCCTTAAGTCCTCTCTCCTCTGCTGGAAATACCCTTAATCCATGTAAGACACTGTTGTGGTTTAAACCCAGCTGGTAACTCAGCACCTCGCAGCTGCTCACTCATTCCCCCTCCATTCCTCCCTACCCAGGCAGGATGGGGAGAAGAATTGAGAGAACATAAAACTCACAAGCTGAGATAAGAACAGTTTAATAACTAAAATAAAGTACCATGCTAATAATAATGATAAGGGAAATAACAACGGGAGAGAATATAAAACTAAAAGGGGAAAGGAAACAAAAAACAAACTCAAGTGATGCACTGTACAATTGCTCACCACCCACTGAATTATACCCAGCCCAACCCAAGCAACAATCGGTCCCTTCCTGGTGACTCCCCCCAGTTTATACACTGGGCATGATGTGGTGTAGTATGGAATACCCCTCTGGCTACTTTGGGACAGGTGTCCCGTCTCTGCTCCCTCATGGCTTCTTGTGTCCTTGTGTCCTTCCTCATTGGCAGAGCATGAGACTGAAAAGTCCCTGATCAAGGTAAGTGCTCCTCAGCAACAACTAAAACATCAGTGTGTTACCAGTGTGTCATGGTTTAAACCCTGTCGGCAAGTCAGCCACACAGTCTACTTCCCCCCACCCCCCCACCCCATCCCTTTCTTCCCTTTCTCCCTGCCCCGCTCCCTGAGGGACGGGAAGAATCGAAAGACTGTAACTCCCACAGACTGAGATAAGAACAGTCCAGTAACTAACGTATAACACAAATCACTACTGCTACCACCAATAATAATAAGAGAAATAACAAGGGAAGAGAATATGATACCACCCGCCGAAACGAGCCTGACCGAGCAGTGAGTGCCCTTCCGGGTAACTCCCAGTTACCCCCTGGGCATGACGTGCTGTGGTATGGAATACCTCTTTGGCTAGTTTGGGTCAGGTGTCCTGTCTCTGCTTCCTCCCAGCTTCCCCTCCTCCCTGGCAAAGCATGAGACTCACAAAGTCCTTGGCCAGACTAAACATCAGTGTTATCAGCACTGTTCCCAGGCCGAAAGTCAAAAACATAGCACTGCACCAGCTACTAAGAAGGAGGAAAAAAAAAATGATTGCTACTGCTAAACCCAGGACACAGTGTTAGACTAAACCCAAAACACAGCACTGCACCAGCTACTGGGAAGAAAATTAACTCTGTCCCCGTGGAAACCAGGACAGATGCTTATTTGGTATTTTGTGCCTGCCCCAATGCCCAATAGTGAACAAAACAGGGCCTGTGATAATAGTTTATATTCTTCTAATGAGTATAGAGTACAGTGAAAAAGTAAAATCTGAAAAAGAACTCCTATGCAAATGTAAAGAACTCCAAAACCCAAAAGACATCCTTGAGAAACAGAGGAATCAACTCCAAAATGTTAACCAACATTTAACACAGACGCACCACGACTTTCAAATCAGGAACCAGAAAGAAGAAAAGATGACTGCAGTTACCTGTGAAAGAAAGAGGCTCAGTAGAAGCCAGAAGTTCTGGCAAAAGAAATTCTTTGATTTAAAAGAAACAAAGGAAAGACTGAAGATAGAGATATCCAAGCTTAGAAGAGAAAAGGAGTTCCCTAGACAAGAGCTTGAAAGAAATCAGAGTGAAATGCAACAAATAAAACAAAAAGAAACTGCAGCAAAATCTGAACTGGAAACCCACCGTCAGTTACTGCAGACCCCAGAAGCTGAAAAACTGAACCTTGAAATGACCCTGCAGGAATGTTTTTACAGTAAACAGATGTTGCAGAAGGCCTTCGAGAAGCTCCAAGCAGATGAAGATTCCACAGAGAAGAAACTTGTGACTGAACTCAGAAATGCAAAAGCAGATACTGATCTTTTGAAGTCTTGCTTGACCAGTGCAAACAGAGAACGCAAGAGGTTATCAACAGCAGTAATGAACGCCAGAGAAAAATCAGTTACTTAAGAATGAACTGCAGGAATACCAACAAGATGCTTCCAGCTATGAAAGTGACATTATACAATACACTGAAGATTACTCAGTATTACAGAATCACCTGTGGACTACTGAAAATGAGAGGAATGCACTATATTTACATCATATTTATAAATATGTATTATACTTATCTCCAACAAGTTACAGTTCTAGTCTCTGAGCAAAGGAAATCTCTTGGCCAGGTACCACAGTACTCCTTCAATGCAATATAACTGTTACTCTGAGTATTCCACTGGAATTTGTGCAGAAACATCTAAGTTCGAAGCTTCAGAATACGATTTGCAAGTTAGGAGCTTTACTTTGCAATACCTTCTCAGCTATTCTTTTTTTTTCTTTCCAGGCAATTCCTGATAATCTACAAGAGTCTGTTGTCTCAAACAAATGGTAATAAACCATTTTCTTTTGTAAAACATTCGCATTTCTGACCTTCAGCCATTTCCGTATTTTTGTTATGTTCAAAGGCTTGTTTTGCTCAGGGCTCCATTTGAAATCATTCTTTTTCCGGGTCACTTCATAGAGAGGGCTTACAATCAGACTGTAATTTGGGATGTGCATTCTCCAAAACCCCACAACACCTAATAAAGCTTGTGAGCTTGTGTTTCTTCCTTATTAGTTGGTGGAGATGTTGCTGTTATCTTGCTGATCACATCTGTGGGGATCTGATGACATCCATCTTGCCATTTTATTCCCCAAAACTGTAGTCGATTCCAAGTGTACCAGACGCCCTTTCAAGTAAAAGTAAATTGTGGCCTGCACTCTGCTGCCAAAGGAATTGAGAAAAATGCACTGGCAGTATCAGTTGTGGCATACCACTTGGCTGCCTTTGACTCCAGTTCATATTGTAGTTCTAGCATGTCCGGGACAGCAGCACTCAATGGTGGTGTGACTTCATTCAGGCCACAATAGTCTAGTGTTAGTCTCCACTCTCTGGTAGACTTTCGCACTGGCCATATGGGGCTATTAAAGGGTGAGTGGGTCCTGCCGATCACTCCTTGGCTCTCCAGTCGACGGATCAGCTTATGGACGGTCACTAGGGAGTCTCGGTTGGTGCGATATTGGTGCCGTCCACTGTTGTGGTCACAGCTGGCACTTTTTGGTCTTCGACCTTCAGCAACCCCCAAACAGAAGGATCCTTTGAGAGACAAGGCAAGGTGGGCAGCTGCTTAATTTGCTCTGTCTCCAAGGCAGCTATACCAAAAGCCCAACAGGTCTCTTTTGGGTCTTTGAAGTACCCTCTCCTGAGATAGTCAGAATCAGTTATGAAGGTGACTGGCTATGTCTACACTGTAAGGATGTAGGGAAGCTGTTACTATGAAAACCATGTAAGTAATTCTAATGTTCTCCTTACCTTAGACAACTGGCTAATGAAATTTAAGAAAGTTCTAAATTCCATCATCACACTCAAAGGTACTGCCAAGAAGCCAAAGGACACAATTACCACTTGTATTAAAACAGCATACTGAGGTCCTAGCTAGGATCGATGGACAGCTCTTTGGGATCACCCATTTTCTTGTGGGGACATATCAGGTGAAGTTACTGGCTCCCATGATAAGCACACAAGGCCAGTCCACATACACTAACACCTTCTCAAACAAGCTGGACTGATTTCATTAATTGTCATACGTTTTAATCAGTTTTCAGTATTGCAGTCTTGTAAGTGAATTAAAAGATTATTGAAATATAGAAGAGATGAGGAACAACTGCAAAAAGAAAAGAGACAGACATGAAGAACTTCAGGGCGGTCTTCATCAGCTGTGCTACATCATAACAGCAGCTAGGAGGAAGTACAGTATGGTTCAGTCTGCCTAGGAATGCTGTGTCTGCAGACTTCACAAGTGAACAACATGGCAAATGCTCCTGATACTCTGTACAAAGAGGACACTAAGGTACCTGACATCAGCACCAGTATTGTTGTCTAATACAAGGTACAAACGAGGAAAGAAGAAATTCTGTTACAGGTCTTTGGATAGAGAAAACATTTTGGATAGAGAAAAAATTCCCCAGTAACTAATATTTTAAAATATTTTTGGATCCTGTTGATTTCAAGGTGAGGGGTTTTATGCTTCAACACATGCTTGAAGACGTGACCAACAATTCTTGGCTTTGTTTTTATTTTCATTGATGCCAGGAAATGTGAGATCCAGTCTGGAATTTCTTTAAAAAACTATTATCCTGTGAGCAGCAGTCAGGATACCATTTCATGGATATTCTATGGATATTCTACAGATATTCTACAGTGGTATGATACATCTCTTATAAAAATTAATATAAAATATATAAAAATTGTCTTCATGTAATAATTGGGATAAATAAATGCTGAGGGTTTTTTTAATTTTGTAATAAATCAGCTTTGATTTATATGAATAAATTTCTTGGACTACATATAAAAACCCAATTAAAATGATTAAGACAGAGGTAAGGTGTACATTTAGGATTACAATTCTATCTGAGAAGAAGCTAGTTTGAAAGACAGATGAGATTTGTTAGGAACCTTCCACATATGCAAAGTGAAACTAAGCTTCTCTTGGAAAATGTTGCAGCAGTTATGGTTGTGAGGAAACAGACGCCGGTAAACAGAGATGACCTTCCTGTCATGAATAGCCTGCTTGTGGCCTGGTTCTGAACATTCTCGATACTGGTCATTTTGAGAAGGTCATCAAAAATCACAATTATACATTTTTAAGACAGTTCTTACTCAAAATTATAATGTACATAAAGTACAAGTTGCAATTCGACTGAAGGGAATTAATTACCTTAGTTTCACTGTGGGCCACGTGTGACTAACTTGCTTAAGACATAAACTGATACACACTTTAAAATATATGCACCTTCTTCTACTACAATATATATTCAGTTTGCAACCCAAATTACTAATTAGAAAGTATATTTTCTGAAAGTATCTTTCAAAAGTCCAGTTAAGCGATAAGATGAAAATATATATAAAAATACAGCCTTGAACTTAATAAATTGTCTTAAATAATAATAGCTTTATATTTAGAAACAAAAAATGACACTGCCAATGATTAAACAGACTGGATTGCCCAATGTACCTGAATCCCACTTTCCACATTTTATTATAGCTTTGATAACAGTTCAGAGTATAAAAATGTGTACCCTGCATTTCATCTCTTGCACCTAAAAAAATGTCAGCTGTGCAGTCTTGTAGTTATTTGCATTTAATGATCTGAAACATAAATGAAGAGAGTTATTAGATTTTAGTAGAATATCACTGTACAAATTACAAGAGTTTTCGTAAAAATTCACACCTGGGGTATGCCCAGTCCTGTGATTATATTTAATGACTTGAATAATGAACCAAACAAATACATACTAAACATTTTCTTAGGAAGGAAATAGTAGTGGAGAATCTGAAATACCTTTCAGAAATAATTTCTCTGTGGAATTGCTGATAGATATGTGACATTTTTCTCTTTACAAGTATTCTTAATGAGTCCATTATAACTGGATCTGTGAGCACATAATGACACTTCACAATCAGTTCCACCCTTTTCATTTTGAAACCTACTTCACATACAGTTAAGGGTTTTTTTCCAAATAAAAACATTTAATTTGGCAACATGAATTTTTATTCTGTTCATAAACCAGTAACACAATTACAATGATAAGAAGGATATTCAGAGCAATATACCATTCTTTTTCCCTTGTACTAGCTGAAAAATACCAGTGCCTACCTGGAAGGTTATACTTTCTTATATCAGTGTTGGCAGTTACTACACTTTTTGGTGTACCAAGAATTTACTTTCAGTTCTTTCTTAATTTCCATTCGTAATGAAAAGCATCGTGGAGTAATACGTAGTTCTGGTTCTGTCTTGTCAGTGTAAATGAAAACATCAGAACTATCCCTACAGCTTAAAAAGTGATTACACAAATGCCAAGATGTGGTGAAATAAAGTAAATGGAACAGCAATAGGTGAAAAAATGAGGTTTATTTCTTAGACTTCACATATATGTAAAAGAGAAATTACAAATGTGAAGCAGATTCCTCTAAGAAAGTTTTTCAAATTTTAATCATTTCTAAATTAATTCATGTTACTCGTGGAGTATGCAAAATAATATGCTTAACTGGTCTACTTGCAACCTTAGAAGTCTTCATTTGAGAATGATTTCTCTAACTAGAGAACACAGCCTCGATTTTCTGTTTGAATTACAACAGAGCCAAAACTAGAAAATAAATTTGTTTCATATATGGATTATAGTTTAGTAATATAAAAAATAAAGAATTATGTGCTTCTTTACCTATACACATACACTGTGTTCTGTAGATCTCTTCTAACACTGCGCAGTGACATGTTTGTAGTTACGAATCCAATTCGGAAAAGCTTCACAGGTTTAGATTATCTAGTATTGTATTTGCCAGCAGAGGGAGCTAATTTTGTTCCAGAAACAGAACCACAGACTCACAAAATGGTTTTAGGCTGGAAGGGACCTCAAAGATCATCTAGTTCCAACCCCCTGCCATGGGAAAGGACACCTTCCACTAGACCAGGTTGCTCAAAGGGAAAACAAAACCCGATTTTGTTTTTGACAGGAACATTCCTGGTCTTTTTACATTTATCAAGTCAGAAAATAACAAAAAATTTCAATTACATCTATATAGCATGATTCTGAAAGTCTCTATGGTAGGTATAGCCTTATAAAGTAACCTGAATTCTAGAAGAGAGTAGGAATAAATTTGGAAAGTCAAGCTCCTTATGCATTTCTTATCCTTCTGTTAGTAATTTGTTCCTTCATTTATTCAATTATTTTAGACTGTAATAAACAGCTGTGCTAATGACTTATGGTAGGCAGCACACATGAAACATGAACTCAAAGGTGCTTACCTTTGGACATTTAAAGTAATTATGCTTGTAACAGGTCTGCTTTTTGGTCCAGGAGGAGGATGAAAAAACTGTTGTTCTCTAGCAGATGTGACACCCTTAGTGTCTTTAACTACATAAGGCTCAGCAGAATGGCTTGGGTAAGGGTCAAAAGTGCCTCCTTTCATGCCCCCTGCCTGAAAAAAAACACAACCAACCAACCAATCAACTTTTTGAAGTGCCAATCTACAATATAATTGAGTTAATGAAAATATTTTTCATGCAAAAGCAAGTAAGAATACTGACTAGCAGACTGCATCATATTATATACAAAACAAAACCAAATAGTCCTTTAATTTTTGATGGAAACTTTAAGGAAAACTTTAGTCATTATTTTAATGAATTCTTAGTTTTAAATGTTCTTTCTTAAGCCTAGATTTTGAGGAAAGGATCTTAAAGATGTCACAGAAAAAGTAAAAACATAACTCACTAAAATGAGCTATGTTGTGGCAAAATAATAGGAATTTCTATGTCACTATCAGTTTACGAGTACACCTTCCCATCAAGTACTAGTGTAGGGAATGTTAGGTACAGGAGGGCTTAAATATTATTATCAACATGCTTTCTGACATAAAGGATTAAGTACAGCACTGGCAGTCCACTAGTACTGCAAGAGTGGCAACTATTAGTTAAAAAATATCTGCAGAGACCTGATTAATTTTTTGTAATCCCCTAGTGCAGCTAAACCCCCCAGTCTGCTGAGGCTGCATTCCTGACAGGTGCAGCAGTAAGCAATTCAATCAACAATAAAGCCATTTTTCCTGCAAGAATTTATATCACAGAGAGGGAGGGTATGTAGTAGCTTGGGAAGTACCCATTATTTAAATATATGGGGAAAACATATATGGTGTTAAGGATGGGGAGCCTGGATCAGGATTGCCAGCACTGTTAGCTAAATGAGAGGCTGCCTTTCTAGCAGCTAACTTTTCTGTGCAGATTTCCCTTCTGAAAGATCTCAGCTGCCTTATCTATAAGCCAGTCATGCAACACAATCACTTGTGTATAAGCATTTCTGCTGTCTTTTTCTGAATAATTATATTTTCCTTGCTATCATCATCTTCCTCAGATGAACTGAAGTTAGTCAGATACGTCACGAATGAAGGACATAATAATAGGAAAATGGTGCTTAGAAGAGCACAGCATTAACCAACTGACTGTGCAACTCCAAAATGAAGAGCTGAAAAGTGACAGATTAAGGGGTGTTACTGTAGTACGTTTCTGGAGTCATTTAAGAGGGAGAGAGATTTATGCATCTTAAACCCATTTCAAAGTGAAATTAAGGTTTAGTGTAAAATGAATGGCATAAATTTAGTATCTCATCTCAAAAAAATGTATCAGGATGGAATGCTTTATGGCATGGAAAAATATCCATTTAGATTTTAAGAAATAATGACACTAAGCAACTGGAACTAATAAACTATATTCCTACATATCCTTCATACTAACTCCAGGCTTTATTTCTTATGCCCTCTAAGCCCTTCCATGTATATTTATTCCCATCCTTTTCTTCCTTTTCTCCTAGCTACTGAAGAGTTGGCAAATTTTCAAGCAGATTCCAATTTTGTCTGCTGATGGACAAGCAACAGATAACTTCTGAGTTTATTCTGCAGCCTTTCTCTGAGCAGAGGGATTAACCTGAGTCTTTCTCCTCCCTCCAGCTATCCATTCCAATGACTAGAATTATCTGTTAGATGTTTGTCTATACAGGCTGAGAGCAATTAGCAGGTTCAAAAATGGTATGTGACTGGACCTGACAAGGTCCGAAATAGGAAAGCATTTAATTTTGCTATAGTTACCTATCTTACTGTCATTTACTGCATAACCTGCTGTTTGTATCTTTCTGTATGCAGTCAATTAACTGTGTTAACAGCACTACGCAGATTGTGGAGAGAAACACTTTTTAGGTTACTTGAAACTGGTTAGCAGCTGTTGGGTCAAACAGGATTTTATGGGTTTGTAAACTGAAAACAATGTAAATGGAATAATACATTTTGTAAGAAAACATAAGAAACGAATAGCAAAACCAAACATTTATTTCTATCTTACATACTATAAGAAGAACTTTTAACAGGAAATGTCTGAATATGTATCTTTCATCTCCAGTAGCCGTAACACAAACTAACCTTTTTAGGAGGAGAACTTGGTATGAAAGGTAGTGCAACTCGCTTCTCTGAAGGTGATTTCTTCTCAGGTGGCAAAGGTTTGTCAGTAAAATAGGGATTCTTGTCAAAATACTCCTGGGGATATAGATTTAACCTGAAAGGCCCTCCTTTAAACAACTGTTTATGTTGCTCTTGCGCTTTCTGTAAAACAAATACTTTGAAAGAAACACGCCTCATGATTTTTACTGTATGCTATTCTAAGAGAAAAAATGGAAAGCATTTAAACTTAGTCTTGGAGAATGTTCACTTTAACTTTCTTTGCCCTTGCTCGATGCTCAATGTATTTTATATACCCACCATGCATAATGGAACACAGATTCACTAACTAGGAAGCACAACCATCAGTATGAAAGTATGGTAGAAAAATGTCAGAAAAAGCACTGTGCATTTAAGATGTGTCTAACAGAACTGAATACGTGCCTGAAAATTCTGCCTGTGTGCATCCCAGCTGCTCACACCTGGCCACTATGTTTCCCAGATTCTGAGCATCTTACTGAGCTCAACTGCTCTAGGAATCGGTCTTTGTACCACAGGAGATGTCAACTATTCTTCCCAGATTTCATTTTAAAATAAAATAGGTTAAAACAATATGAACAATTAAAGGACATGCATAAAACATACCATCAGTGAGAGAGTATCACGTGGTAATGCATACTAGTATCTCAGAGCAAATTCCTTGTTTCCTATCCAGTGGAAACAATCCCACCTCTCTATTTTTTATTCTCATTTTCTGCACTGGATACTTAGTTTTAACTCTGAATTTGTCTCAACTTCAGGTAGCTGAAATGTTTCTTCTAACCTTGTTCTTACCCTAGGCCAAAAAATATCCTTCTGCTACCGTTTTTCACTACATATGCATGACTAAAATATACAGGATAAATAAAATCAGTGCAAGCAAATTTATGAGTTTTCTTAGATTTATGAACTTATAAGGAAAAAGCAACAGTTATTTTTGCTATAGCATCTAGGATAATGAGGTCCCATTCTTCTGACAACACCACAGACATTTATTGTTCCTTCTATTGGCATGATATTGGCATTATCACATTGTAGCTTAAGGTCTTCATATAGAAACTTGAGGTCAAATCCTGAATGGCTGAACTTGCATGGGATACAGCATATGAAGACAGGCTGAGAAAGTTGGGGCTATTCATTCTGGAGAAGAGAAGGCTGCGTGGAGACCTCATAGCAGCCCTTCCAGTATCTGAAGGGGGCCTATAGGGATGCTGGGGAGGGACTATTCATTAGGGCCTGTAGCGATAGGACAAGGGGTAACAGGTTAAAACTGAAACAGGGAAAGTTTAGACTGAATATAAGGATACTGAATACACTTTACTATGAGTGTGGTGAGGCACTGGAATGGGTTGCCCAGGGAAGCTGTGAATGCTCCATCCCTGGTGGTGTTCAAGGCCAGGTTGGACAGAGCCTTGGATGACACGGTTTAGTGGGAGGTGTCCCTGCCCATGGCAGGGGGGTTGGAACTATATGATCTTAAGGTCCTTTCCAACCCTAACTATTCTATGGTTCTATGATTCTATGATACTGCCAGATGTCTCAAAGAAAGCATCATAAATAAATAATACCTACATCTTTTTTATACAGAATGGCCATTAATTTGTTTTCCTTCCTGCACTTTGTAAGTAAACATCAGTAATTTCAAGACAAAGGAAATACCAAAAGGAACAAAAAGTTCATGTAAATTGTAAGAAATAATCGTAACACTAATAAATAATAGAGAGAAGTATTTTTACCTCTGCAATTATTCTTGCTAAATCATACTCCTCAGGTAAATGCTCATATTGTTCACCTATGGTCAGGTTTGCATAACTGTAAAAATAAAATTAATTACTTAGGTATTAAAAACTCAAGAAATATTCAATAAAGCAGTCCGCAAGAAGCAATATTGTGAAGTTACCCGTATCCAGTTCCTTTCTTTCCTGGATTAGTATAAAAATTCTTTCCAGGAGGAACGTATCTTACTTTTTCTCTTACTTGTGGACTGAAGTACAGATATGAACCTCCTATGGTTCCATAATAGCTGCCAAGCCCACACCTAAAAATAGCAAATGAACACATTAATTACAGGTTTGTAAATAGTTCAGGCTTTATAGATATAGTGTGCTAAAACAACAGGAAGGAGAAAACCCAAACAGTATACACATGGCAAGAGTTACATATAAAACCAGATCAGAGCCACTGTCTATGGATCTACTAGTACAGCAATTCCATGCACAGTGTTACAGATAAAAAAAGAAACAAGATGGCAGCAGAGATGAAGTTTTAAGGTATCTTCATAATATAAATATGCTTAATAGAAGCAGATTTAATTTTGCACCAACAAAGTGAAGTAACACTGGTAGAGACAGATTCACCAAGACCCAGCGGAATAGTTTAAACAGATGTGGTGCTCGATGATAAGAGGACTGCCTTCACCACAAGTTTACAGAGAGCAGTAAGATAGTGTTGGTATGATTATGGAGTGACAGGTAACATGGGGTACCTGTCTGAAAGGTTCTTCTTCTGGGAGATGTTAGGACTAGTTAACTTTCTTTGTTGTCACAGAAGGAAAGTACAAGGAGGCACAGCTCATTTAGGATAAATACCTCTGCCTACAAAGTCACAGGAATTCATAAAGACTTTTAAAGACCAACTTGAAAATCAGTATTTGCTGGTAAGTGTATAAAATGCTCTCAAAGTACATGATCATACAGCTGCTAAAGGAGAAAAGGACAAAGTAATGAGATAGCTGAATGGAAATTTGGTCCACTAAGATGCACCTACACTGGTCCAAAAATACCCCAAACAACCCTCTGTTCTCAAGCCCCCAAAATCCAAAACAGAAAAAAAATAAACAGGGGCTACTGTATGAAATCTGTCAACTACTCCAGATAGCCAAGGGAATCTGTTTTGTCTGTAATTATTGTGGGGAGACAGTAAAGTGTCTCAATGAGTTCCTTTCTAAAAGGGCCATTAATGAATACTGACAGGATTAGGATGCCAAGATGACATTTGTCATCTTTGCACTAAACACAAACCTGCCTACTCATCACCCTCTTTTCCTTAGGGACTTCATAAACCCATATATAGAAAAGAAGGGCAAACTGACAATGCACAGACAACTTTTATCTTGATGTTTCCTAGCTCTTAAGTGCTTTATTTGATAGTCTTTAAATGTCGCTTCTGTGTGTAGGGTTTTTATATGCCAGTAACAAAATAAGACAGAACAGACATACAAAGAAAAGAAAGGCCCAGGTTTCAGTCACATCTTCAGAATATGACATCTTTGCAACCTTTCCCATTTCAGCAACAATAAATGTGGCTCCAAGGTAAAAGAAAGATTCCTAAGAGCTGTTTGTCATTCAGGCAGCTAAGAATAGCAACTCCATGAACAGCATCAGAGCTCTACACTAGTTCCTTACTTACAATGAGAGTCAGTTTTGGATGCAAGAAACATATCATCATCCTCCATAACCGCTTTGGGATTATATTAAAAGGCAATCAAACCACTTTCCCTGCTTTGTACTACTCTGCCAGCACAGATTTAGGATCAGATAAAGACAAAGAACCTGTCCTAAAGTTCGTGTCTAGAAGAAGTCAAAAGTCTTACAAGAATAAGAGTATGAGCTACTACATACACAGCTAACAAATGCATTTGTGGAGGCACTACATGGGAGAGAGCACATTAGCAGGTCTTTGTAAGCCAGACTCCCACTGGTGGACTCAGAATCCAGAAGGTAGTGAACAAGAGGATTCTCACTGACTGACATAGATTTGAAATCAGTGCCTAGGTGTTTCTAACAGTTAAATCCTTATAACAAATTTGGTTGCTATAAAATCAAGTTATAGTTAAAAGGAAGTTTTACACATGGGGCTCACACAATGTCTGTGCCATCAGAAATAGCACATGAATATCCAATAGAAAGCCTACACACCATGTCTTACACTCCTATTAAAAGCTAAGATGTTCCTGTAACATACAATGAAACATACCTAACCCTTGCATCCTAATATATATATAAACACACAAAATAGACAAGACATTACCCACAAAACTTTCCAAAAGCAAAGCTGCAGAAAGATATGGCTAAATATAACCGTAAGACTGTAAGAACAAGACCCTGTACACAGACTGAATCTTCCTGTCTCCCCTTGCAGCAACAAGAACAAAACAAGATTGTATAGTTATAGAGGAGTAATCAGGTTCTACCTAGTTTTTACATGTGAATAATAATAGTTATATGATATCAATTGTGTTGTTGTGGCAATAGCAAAGATGCATTTATTTTAATATTCTGCATATATTCCTTAACTCTGTAACATCTTCTGATCATCCTGTAGGATGATTTTTTCCAGCAAAAAGATAACGGATGAGGGTTTGCTGAGAGAAAAAGGTTGCACCTGGATAATGGCCCCTTCTCCTACTGTTTATGTAATATTATAAAATAATATTTTATATTATATATATTATAATATTTTGGGAGGCTTAGAAATGGGAGGAGGAAGATATTGTATCTGACAAATTCCAATAGACTTCCTCCTAAATTAAAATGAAATATTTATTTGTTAATTATCCCACCCTTTTCCCATCTTCAGTTTCATTGAAATGCTAAAGGATAAAAAAACTGTTTATAGCAAAAAACAGTAGTTAAGAGCAAGCACCAGGTCCTGATTTCTACTGGTGTTCAGCCGTCCCTATGGTGCTGCTCACAATTATTTCCTCAGTACTAACACTACATTGTAAAAAAACCAAGAATATTGTACTCTCATTACAGGTTTTACAAGAAATCTGTGAAACCCATCTTTAGTGTACAGAAAAGAGAAAGGGTTGATTTAAAACATTTTCACACTTACGGCCATTTGTCTCCATTACTGGGAAGAAAAGCTTTGCCCAAATTTTTCTTTGATTCTGCCAATCTATAGCGTCTTCTTAGCTGGACAGGGTCTGTGTAGGCTTCACCACTGAAAACTCTCACAAACTCAGGATCAAAATAACCTGCCTGAAGAGCTGACATTGTTTTGGACCCCCCAGGTAACATCTGTTTGTTCTTGCTCGAAGCTTCATTAAAAGGGCCTTTAAAAAAGCAAGCACTGTAAATAACCGTTCGATGTTAGTGCTTCTCTTAGCCTACTTTAAAAAACTAAGGTCTGGATCTGGGTGGCTCCAAGAATGTACTACAGAGCATCTAACTTGTATACCATTCATGTAAATGGTTGTGTCTGAAACACAATGCCATGAGAAGGTGTTCACAGCACCCAATTCTAGTTTTCTAACCCCTGCATTTGCTTTACAGGCAACGGAGAGAGACTGGTTAAGGCAGACTACAGATCACAGCTAGAGATGATGCTTATTTATGTACTGACAGTAATAGTTCAGAGGAGCATCTGCCTCTCCCATGGATTACAGACCAGTCAGAACAGTTTAAGTGCCTCCAGCTGGGTTTTGGATACCCAGCAGCTCAGTGCAGAAGTGTATCAGCCAGAGTTCTGGTGAATGTGTTCATCACTGACACATCACCACAGCAGAAATGTCAGTATTGAGAAGCCAGCATTATCTTGCATTATCACTTCCAAGCAGCTACTGAGGGTTAACCTCTGTAACCTTACTAATTACAAAAATTACCTTTCTCAATGACTATTCCCATTAAACTGTAAGAAAAGGAGACTATTCTTTAAAAAAAACAGGATGGGGAATCTCACACATGAATCAGATCAGAACATAACAGACTGTAGCACTAATATAAAAACAATGACAATGTAATTGTCATTATTTTTGCCATAACAGAAAACTTGCTGAAAGAGTAGACAAAAAACACTACTGTTTTTCACAAAAGTAAGAAAATACTGGTAACTTGCAGGTAATTAACATTAAAAAGAAATGTACACACTAAAAGATTTCATCAATCTATTATGCATACACAGTTTTCAGTTTTACTGGATTTTTCCTTTCTACAATAAATTCATTCCAAGATTCCCTTAAATAATACATACCTGAACAAAGAATATGCATGAAAAAGCAGTTCCCTCTAACCAAAAAAACCCACAACAAAACATTAGAAAATAGTGATTCTGAACGTAGGTGGATACTAGAGGTGGTCCCTATCACTAAATAGGGATTAAAACTAAATGTACTTACGCATATAATGTGATACATATTTATCTCCAATGGTAATATAGCTCATTTCACTGAAGAGGCCAATCCTCTCCAGGTCACTTTTCCCTTCTGCAGGCATGGCTGGATCTGTGTGACAGTGCACTACACTAAAAAGCTTGAAGTAGCCTTGTTTATCTCTCCTATGGCAAAAGCTTATAAGCAGTCCACACCTGTAACAGGAAGTTCATTTAAGTAAAATGCAAGAAGTTTTGGTTAAAAATATTAGTAATAAAAGTAACTTGAAGAAAATAATCTACAATATGATTGACAACCTTGGTACTTACAGATAAAATGGACTATGTGGGATTGAGACACCATTATATAGCCTTTGTTAAACAAATTCAAAACATGAACAGCGAGATAAAAATCAAATGCATTTCTAATACAACTGGCGCCTCTCTTAATGAATTCACATAGTTTCGGTCAAAATTTGTAACAGGCATCTTCAGAGTACTAAGATGAGAGGTTCTGGTGGCATTAACAGCTCCTAACAAACATGCTGAGCAGCCACCTCCTTCATCTTGTGGGTTATCTCTAGCAATGGTCATCAGTCACTTTCTAATAACAATATAGGAGGTCAGACTATGGACAAATCTGAGGTAAAACATAAAAGTGGAATTTTGGAAGCCCTCTAACTAATCCAAGACGTGAGCATGGACTCAATTTCTTCTTGGTGTTAGCATAAACAATTTACAGTAAACATTTTTTCCATCACCATCATTGGATACTGACAGAGCTACGGAAAATGCCTAGTCAACACTTGTAAGGAGGCCAAGGGCTTGACTAGAGAGCAGGTTTAGCAACAGGACTACCAGGGATCTGATTCCCAGAGTGGACTAGTAGAGATACAGAAATCAGAATTAGCGAGAGGAAGAACTGCCTTGAGGAGGAAGGTAACAACATACAGTAAGTTCACCAGGAATGGAAATTAAGGTAGAAGAAATTGGTTAACAAGTGAGAAAAGCTATTTCTTGAAATTGATGAGATATAAGAAGAAAAAAAAAAAAAAAAGAAATCAAGGATATGCAACCAAATAGCTGAAGTACCCATGTCCATACAGCTCAAATGAGAGCAATTAAATTAAGACATTAGGGTGGAATACAGATTAAAGACCATGTTGGTATTAATGATGGAGACAAAGGCAAGATATGCCAGGAATGAAAGTAGGTTGGGCAGCAGCAAACTCTGAGAGACTAATATCACACATCAGCTGTATCCAGTGGGTAGGTGCAGAGTAGAAAAGCAGCAACAGCACAGCAGTGGAAATACATATAACAATCGCATATATTTTATTACAAAAACAGCATGCTGGGACACTGTGTATGACAGAAGAGCTAGTCACATTTTGCTTCTGCTCAGCACACAGGATGGACAGACAGCATGCAGAAGTTTTAAGAAGTTTGAAGCTGGTTTGGGGGTTTTTTTTGAACGTGTGGAGGTTCACACAGTGTAAAATGCACTAATGGCATTAAGAGCTAGTAATAAAACACGCTGAGCAGCCACCTCCTTCATCTTGTGGGTTATCTCTAGCAATGGTCATCAGTGTCTAATAATAGTACAGGAAGTAAGAGTATGGACAAATCTGAGGTAAAACACAAACGTGGAATTTTGGAAACCCTCTAACTAATCTAAGACCTGAGCACGGTAAGTATCTCCAATTTCCTTTTGGGTTTAGTGCAAATTATTTATAAGTATACATTAGTTTTTCCTCATCACACCTTCACTGGAGCCTGCCAAATGAGGATAGGAATAATTTATTGAAAACAGACCTGGAATTAAATTCCACAGTGTAAAGCAAAGATGGTTGATGCAGGGATTAATGGGAAGGATTTTTGGACCTCAGCAGCTCGGCAAGCACGATTCTGGAGCGTCTTCCAAGGAATTTGTATGAAAGCTGAGGAAACGCCCTTTTTTTTCTTCCACAGATCAATCCGGTACCCCCTAAACCGGATTAAGTACCGCTGTGGTTGCCCAACCTGAACATAAAGCCCAACCCTATGCGCTCCACCGCAGCCCACCGCCAGGTCTGGCTACGGGAGGCAGCTGAATCACGAGGGAACCGAGCGGCACCTACCCGCCGGAGCCGGTATCTCACTCACGCGTCACGGCCGCCCGCCGGGGCCGCCCTGTGTTGGTACCGGTTGCCCCGGAGGCGGGAAAGCCCAAAAGGCGGGGCAAGCCTATCCCACGCCCCCTTCGTCCAACTCCCCCCCGTCTCCTTGCAATGGTACGGCCCAAGGCGATGGCGACTGCGCAGCAGCGCGGTGCGGGCGTACGGGCGGGGGAGGCGGGTTAGTAGACGTCACGTGACTCCCGCCTACCGAGTCTATCGGAGGGGTGGACGCACCGCCCCCCAGACCGCCTTAGCGCGCGAGGCCCCGCCCCCGGGCGGGAGCGCGCGTGCGCGGGGAGGATGTGGCTGGGCGCGGCCTCCTGTGCGGCGCTGACGGACGTGGTGAGTGCGCCCCGCCCTCGCGAGCGGGCACCTCCATAGGGCGGCGGGGTCCGGGGGGTTCGGGGCTTACCACAGATTTCCCTCCCCCGCTCCCCTGCGCGCACGCCGTGGGGGTTGGTGTTGGTGCTCCGCCGCAGCGCCTGGGCCGCCAGCCCCCGGGGGTACCTCGGTGAAGGCCCATGGGGGCAGGTCGGGGTGCTCAGGGCCCGGGGAGTGTCAGGCGGGCTGCCCCTTCGTGTTCGTCCCCCCCGCAGCAGCCTTTGCCCATGTCGCGCGGGACCTCGCAGGTGTCCGTCTGTCTTGGCTATGTCAGAGGTCTGCTGGGACGTCATCATCCACGGCGAGCCCCTGCCAAAAGGCCATAGCCTCTCTTACTTCGGCAGAGCTCTGCTTTTCATTCAAGAACGTTATTCTCCAGTTGCAGTAATTCCGATAAAAACCAGCTACATCAGTCGAGTTAGACCTTTTTTTCACATGCTGGCACTTGTGGATCCCACACTTCAGAACCTTTTACGTGCAGATAACTGTATTATGTGAAATAGATCATGGTTATGCTTCAGGAACCAAAATGTAGCACGTGACGACCTTGCCTTTTTTGTTTCTTGGAGTAAATTTTGGTACTCCAGAATCGTGGAAACCTCAAAATCCTTTACCCAGAGCTCAAAGTGTAGATGCTTGTGTTTTTGTCAGGCACACATATCTTCTGTATTTCTGCTTAGAACACTTTTAATGAGAAGAAAATTAGCCCTATACTTTGCTTCTTTTATTTCATGAATAACGTAGCATCGCATCTGGAAGCTTCCCATGTTTTGAAAGCAAATAGGCAGTAAGTCTTTCCAGAAAATCTCAGTGTAATTACTCTTAGAGGCATTTGGTGGCCTTTTTAGAGCACTTAAGGCTGTGAAGCATTTCTTTTTGTGGACTGTTAGGTTGAGGAATACCCACATCCCTCTGGACCTTGTGATCCACTCTATGCTGGTTATTGTAGGAGGATGTTGAACTTGACCTGAATTGATCTGGCTGAAAAAGTCTCTGGACAGAAGGGTGGGTTTCCATCTGAAGGAGTTCTCTGGTAAAGTTCATGTTAAAATGTCTGCAAGGGGCAGTTGTGGGAGCAGAGCAAGGACTTTGGAAGGGGAAAGAAACAGCTGGGTGGTTTCTGTGCTGGCATCAGCAGCTCTTGTGTCAGATGTGAAACTTAGCCTGGGTTCTGGGGAGGTGGGTGTGTGTCCGCTTTTGTTTTCATCTCCCTGAAGCTGTGATTTCCTTGCAGATGTGCTCAGTTACCTTTCTGCTCTAATGCTCAAAGCAGTCCTTGGTTTACTTGAACTGGAAGAAGACTCAGAGGATGGGAAACGTGACATTTGGATTGAAACAATGACTTTTTACCCAAAATATTTCTAAATTATTAAAGTATAGAAGTAAGGCTTTCTTGTTTAGGTAGGAAATGTGTTTTAAGGACTGTGCTTGTAGCAATACTAACATTGACTGAGGTACTGGCTCCGGCAAATATGTGCTGCTATTCCACTCACTTTCCTGTTTATTCACTGGCCTTTTACACCCTGACCAGCTGCAGTAATTACTGGTGTGTTCAGACACTGACAAAGTAACAGTCAGCTGTAACTTGAGAGGAGGCATGTTGAAATAGATGTTCATTTTCATTGTTTCTTTTTTCTCCTTAGGTCATTCTAGAAGCTATGGACATACTGTTTAGAATAAGAGGAGGCTTGGATCTTGCATTTCAGCTAGCAACTACTGATGGTGTGTCTACAAGACTATATTAGAGTTCTTAACATTTATATAAATAACCTTTTATTAATTAACTATTATAATGTTTATTTTCCTGGCTTTTCACCAGATGTTGTGTTTTTTCCCAAACCCGTGAAGATTAAGTACAAAGAATGTTATTCCTTATCTCCGTTACTTTTCTGGCAGTCTTTTTCCATTATATGTTTTTTATTTTAATTTGAAGTAAAAATTACATTTGAAGTAAATTTGAAGTAAAAATTACCATTTTCAGGTAATTTTATTTGCGTATTTTTCACTCTTATGGATACAGTATTGGGATCCAGTTTGAATCCAAAGTGGACCCTGAAATTCTAAGCAAACAGAGAATAATAACTTAATGAACTTGGTTATAACAGGGTTATATTAATAATACAGTTTCGCGGTTGTGGTCCAGTCTTTCTAGAGAAATAGAGAAGATGAACAAGCTAACTAGTTACTCTACTGAATTTAGGCAGGATTGGCTACTGCAATTCCATGTGGTAATAAGGGACTCGGGAGGCTCCACTAGTTCCACATTCTGCAGTAATATGATGTTCACATCAGAAAGTCTGCTCAAGGATCTCAGTGGACACTGAGCTGTCATAGGGCAGAGAGAAGTAAGGTGTCTCTTGCTCAAGTGTAATTCATGCATTTTAAAAGGACATGTCTTTACTTGAAACTCTGAATTCAGTGTTAGTGAACTTTGAAAAGGAACTTGGGTTCATCACATATAATAGAAGTGTTGAATAGGTTGGCCTGATATGTAGCAGCTTCTTGTGAACTGCATCCTCAGAGGAAGGGTATTTACTTGACTGTGTACACTGGAGTGAATTTTAACCACAGTGAAGCAGAGTGATACTCAGGTTGTCAAAGTGCATGGTATTCACACCCGTTAGTGTGTAAATATGGCAGACCACTCCTTTTGAAGGCAGTGAAGTTTTTCTTTTGCTGGAGTTTTGTTTGATTTTCCTAACACTGTCAAGCTCTGAAAGGCAAGCTGTGTGGCTTACACATACAGATTTGTATTGGCCAAAACTTGGTCTGCAGCAGGAGCATGTGTCCTGCCTTTCGAAAGATTTAGTATGGATTTTGTTTGTATTTCTGAAGAATAATACCAAGTTAGAAACATGTGACTCAGATTGAATCTTTCCAGGATTTATTTACTCAAAAGACTAATCACCATAGAATTATAACCATATGTAGGTGTTTGTACATAGAAGTTTGTTTGCAGCTGTAGGCTTGGTTGAGGTACCGATGTGAGAATTGAATAAGGTGTATGTTACTCTTCTGTAGTTCATTCAGCTCTTCATATGTGGCAGCATCTGAGAGAAACAGTACCTTTGTCAAGGCAGGTACGAATGTGAATGTTTGAGACAGACCTGTTGAATGAAATCTGATCTCAGTTTTTGTTTCCATAGCCATTTTTCTGATTATAACAGAACTTATGTTTTTATTCCAGGTCAAAGCACACCATATTTTTTAGATGTAAGCCCAGCAGCCATAACAAAACTGAGGGCATTTTCTAGGCTAATTGTATCCTTATTGTGTTTCAGAGGCATCAACAAAAAAGGCATTAGGATATGTTTTCAGTGATCTTGCAAACAAACTGTCCTCGGATGTTCTTGTATTAAGAATTTGCCACAGTTCAATCTATGTATGGCCTAACAGTGGCATGAACACTGTTCCAGAGCTGACTGATGAGTCTGCTTGTAAGGAGATAAGAAAATATATACAGTGAGTATATTTTAATTACTTCTTTTTAAAATAGATTTTTTTCATATTTTAGAAATTTCTCTTTCTGTTGATGCTTTAGATTTGATCAAGATGATGAAACCAAACGAAAGCTTGGCAGAAAAAAGGATAAAAAGTTACAAGATATGGTATGTGTTTCACCACACTAATAAATTTAAACAACCTATCATAACAACCTTAATCATAACTTTAGACAGCCTGTCATTTAATCATTTTCAGGTCTGCCCTCCCTAGGCATTTCTGTACAAAACAAACATTGACATGACTTCGAAGAGTACTTTAAAAGTCATTGAGACTCAGTGTGAATGCTGAGACCCACATACAGTAGACGAGCATGGAGAAGTTTGTATTTAACATTAATAGCTTTTTTTTTAACCCAAGTATTTCATTACAGAATTTGATACCAAATATTTACAGTCTTACTCTTGTCTTCTTGGTGCATGTGTTGTTGGAGACGTACTTAATATTGTATCTTTATTCTCTGCAGCAGCAGATAGTCAATATAGACCTTATGTTGGAAATGACGTCTTCATTACCTGCTTTGGCTCCAGTCATTGAACGGGAAAATAAAGAACACCACTACATAAATATGACATTACCAGTTGATGTTGTTGTATCTGTTTCTCCAGAGGAAACGTGGGGAAAGTAAGTATTTCCTGAAGCTGTAATTTTTCAGGTTAATTTCTGTTTTTTGTTGAAATAATGAAGTAAAACTGTATCATTTATCAGTTTAATAAAGCAGTATTTAGTATGTTTTATGTGGAATTTAACTGGTTAAATCTCAGTACTATGTTAGGGGCTACAGCTGGGTAGGTTAAGGTGGAAAACGTTAAGAGTCTTCCTCTGTATTTTTTCCTGGCATTTTTTTCCAGAGGATTTGACTCTGAAGGATGCTAACTCGGGTGGACAAAATGCACAAAAAAAAAAAAAACAAACAAAACCCTATATAGTCATATACGTAACTGGTTTTGGCAAGGGCTCATAATGGTTGTGTTTCTGATACAAGACTAGGGTACCTTCACTTTGGAGGGCTGAATCAATAGGGAGTAGTTTCTGTGTGTGGACAAGCTTTCAGTAGAGCACAGAAAGATTGTCTCTGTGGGAGTGGAAGTATGGAAGTAATAAGTTCATCAGACCAGGTGCAAATATGCATGTAAGTATTGTATAACAGTGACAGCAATGAGAGAAAATCATCCTCCATTGCTGTTCTACTTTTTAAACATTCTCCCTTATATCTTGCAGCGTACAGAATCTCCTGGTGAAAGCAATTCACAGGCAACTAACTGACATGGAAAGATGTATCATGAAATATGTGAAGGGAACGTCAATTGTGGTACCAGAACAATTTCATTTCATGTTACCAGGGAAAAATCACCTTGTAACAATCTCTTATCCAACAGGTATTTCAGATGATCAGCTGCAGAGTTACAGAAAGGTAAAGCCAACCAATTCTAACAGAACCTGATTTTTTTTTTAATGAAGACTATTGTAACTGAAGCACTGGTAAAGCTTTTCATTTAGCCACTGTGGAATACATACTGACAGATACTGCTATTTTTTCAGTTTATTGTAACTGAAGCAGTATACTGAATGTAGAAGCTTGCTTTGTAATGGTATTTTATAAAATGTACCAGATCTCATTTTTTGTAAGGGGTCAATAGAAATTTTAAAACTGTATAAGATGGGTTTTATCTGAATTATACTTCTGGTACTGTGTTCTTTGAATTTCTTCACTTCCATGGTAGAATATCAGATTACTCCTAGTGTGTTATTACTTTCAAGCTTTATCAAATGTCCTGATAGGATTAATGTTGGAGGTTTTTTATTTGTTGTTTTCAGAGGAGGCTGCTTTTTGAGGGTCACAGCCGATGAGGCTTAGCTAGCTTTTGTTTGTTTGTTTTATGCCTTCTGAGTTGGCGCATCTAGAGAAAGGATTATGAATGAGGTGGAAAACTGCTCTGATGTGGCAGTCCTTTCAGATTGAGGTGTATACCTAGCAGGTACCAGTTCAGGTCACACAGTTACACACACCAAGAATGGGGAAAGGATCTTTTCCTGCCTTAGAGGCGTAGAAGCCATGGGGATTTTTCATTTTCTTCTTCCTGGGTGTATAAAACCTAATCTGTTCCTTTTATTTGTAGTGGCCTCAGGCACTAGTGGCACATTAAGTCTTTCCTGCTCTCTGTCTTCTTATATTATTCTTATCTGGGATTGCTGAGTGTTGCTGTAGCTAATGTAGTTGGGTTCAGCACTAGGTCATCTGCACAAAATATATTACCTGTGTTACAAACTTTATCCTAGATGTTCTCATCATTCCTTTCACTTTTAAGCTCTGTAAAACAAGACAATATATCTCTTTAAATGTGGCTGATGTATTGTAAACAGTGCATAAGAGATTTAAAAATAGCTTATGGTTTAAGCAGATTCAGTCTATCTTTATGTCAGTATGTGGCATTTGTATGTCTTCAATATTAGTTAAAATTCTAATTCACAGTGTGTGTATCTATGCTGCTAGATAGATGAAACTGTAATTCTTTTCTATTATGGTGTATTTTATCATGCTTTCATAAGATATTTGTCACTCATGGTATCTTCAGTGGGGTGCCAGCAGCAGGCATTGTGTAACAGGACTGCATGAAATAGTGCACCCTCTAGATAGGAGGTAAGCCTGCCTGAGCTCCCTTTGAGAGGTCAGGTCTAGCAGTAAACATACATGATAGCTAGCTAATTAATCAGATTTTAATACATAATTTTGCTAAATTATGCTGTTAAAATTGTCTTTGTTATTACTTTCAATATGATGTTTCTTCTAATCCAGAACTTTAATTCTGTTCTTTATTTGAACTTGCATGTAGGAATTGCACGAGTTATTCAACCTGCCTTGTGACAGACCCTATTTCAAGAGAGCAAATGCTTATCATTTTCCAGATGAATCATATAAAGATGGGTATCTCAGGAATCCACATTTACATCTGAATTCACCTAGTATGGAGCCTGGTATGGTAAGTTTAAATTGGAACACTTGTAAGAAAGTACTTTTGATTTTGCTTGAGATTTGTTATTGTCATGGTTTAAACCCAGTCAGGCAACTCGTTCACTCACTTCCCCCCCCTTTCTTGCCCTCCCCCTGCTCCCGGAGGGACGGAGAGGAGAATCAAAAAGAATGCAACTCCCACGGGTTGAGATAAGAACAGTTTAGTAACTAAGGTATAACACAAATCACTACTGCTACCACCAATGATAATAATGATAAAGGAAATAACAAGGGAAGAGAATACAACACCTCAGCACCAGCCGACCGATCACTCGCCCCCCAAGCCCGACCAAGCTCCGACCGATACCTCCTCCAACCCTGCAGTCTCCCAGCCCTTCCGGCTAACTCCCAGTTACATCCTGGGCATGACGTGCTGTGGTATGGAATACCTCTTTGGTCAGTTTGGGTCAGGTGTCCTGTCTCTGCTTCCTCCCGCCTTCCCCTCCTCCCTGGCAGAGCATGAGGCTCACAAAGTCCTTGGCCAAACCAAAACATCTCTATCAGTTCTGTTCCCAGGCCGAAAGTCAAAACACAGCACTGCACCAGCCACCAAGAAGAAGAAACATGACTGCTACTGCTGAACCCAGGACAGTTATTATAAGAAGTAATTTAGTTAGTTCACTTTCTCATCTATACAATATTGACTGACTTGGCCTTTTAAGCAAAAGGGCTTCTCTGCACAAAATGGCATTGCTTTAGCTGTATTTGTCTCAAAGAAAACTGCCTTTTCTTGGAAAAGGATTTACACATTTTCAGCATGTGTTTTTGAAGCTTCTCAGAACCAGGACAAGAAACTAAAACTGATTGGAAATGTTTAGGAAGCAAAGACAGGAGGAGTAATCATGTGTGAGTAACAATCGTTCGATTCTTCCAAAGATTTTCAGTCCCAAACTGAAGACTTTTACAGTTCAAGTGACAACTGATGTGCCTTCTCTGAAACTGATGCAAGTGTGATCAGATTCATTTGTATTATCTCTTTCTGTGCAGGTCTATTTAGTACATGGTGTCTATAGTTACCACCACTATATGCAGGATCGGATTGATGACAGTGGTTGGGGCTGTGCCTATCGGTCTTTGCAGACAGTCTGTTCTTGGTTCAAGCACCAAGGTTACATTGACGCACCTATACCAACACACAAGGAGATTCAACAGGTACAGGACATTTAAGGGAGTTAGTTATTTTGTGCATATTCATCTAGAAAAGTTTGTATAGGTTATTTTTAAAATTCATCAATTCATGTATTTTAGCTTTTGGATTTGTGTGGTATTTTTAATTTCTCTCTTAAATTGAACTATAGTAGTTCTGAATTATTATTTATATAGTTTTATTACAGGAGATCTGTCTCCAAATGTTTATCAGTGTTGGGTAACATCTGTACAAATAAGACTCATTAAAATAGGCTTCTAAATATTTCCTTGGACTAGTGCTCTATTAGAAGCTGAGATCAGGAGCTCACTGTTTTCACCAAATGAAAGAAAACAACCCAATGTGTTATACTAAAATCCGTTTTAAAACTGCCTTTTGTATTCAGTGACATCTGGGTTAGTCTCCAGATGCTATGTATTGATTTAGCACCTTCTTTTGCAACTTTGATACTAGTGGGGTTTTATTTGTTTTTTTGAACTCTCTACTTCTTTTTCTGTTGGGAATTTGAATGCATACCTGAATACATTCATTTCCGTTAACAACACTGAAAAAAAGCTGTAGGCGTGAATAGCTAATACTGTATGCCTAGCAAGAAATACTGCAGTTATCTTTAGTCTTCTGATAGTAGTTCTTTGTGTTGTATTTATTTACTGCATATTTTTAGCAAAGGTTGATGCAGTCCATAAAACAACTCTCATCGTACCTAACAGGGATGTGAGCTCTGAAGTTAAAACTGCAAACTGCATTTCCTGAATGTTTATCAATCCACACCTAAAAGCAACTGAAGTCCATGTGCTCCTGTAGTATTTTTAGACATCTATAAGAAGGCAGTAGCCTTTCAGGAGGCTTTGGATCCTGAGCAGGAAAGTCCCCTGAAGTGCTGTGTGTAACATGCAAGCCCCAGAATGGAGAAGAGTTTAAAACAAACCTCAGCCTTCAGTGTATTTCAGCGGCTTCTTCCTCAGAGCACTATTTTATGGATCCTTTTCTGAAGTGCTTTGAATGGGAATCCAGGTACTTCAGTTTGTGAAGTGCTCCTGCAGTACAACAGATGCACTCCTTTATTTGACAGCTCAGTTCTTACCATCCCAGCTTGAGCTGATATTCTGTGCTTATAGGCATTCTGTCTTAGGTTCAAGTGATGTTTTCGAAACAACAGCAGTGAATGTAATCCAAGATCCATTTGTCTGCTTTTGACCAGCTAGGTTCAAAACGCATTCCCACAGAGTGGTAGAGTTGCTTACTGTATGTTGTTGACATTTGTTTTTCTTCATCATGATGTTGCAAAGGCATTGGTTGATGCTGGAGACAAGCCTGCAGCATTTGTTGGGTCACGGCAGTGGATTGGTTCCATTGAGGTACAACTTGTTTTGAATCAGCTTTTTGGAATAACATCAAAAATATTATTTGTCAGGTAAGAATTGCTATCTGTTTAACAACTCAGTAATTATTAAAAAAACTTGAGCGCCTTAAAATGCAAATTACCATTACACTATATGGGAGAATAGGGATAATGAAGGAGATGAATCTTTTAAGGGTTCCATGTTCATCAACCCTGTATTCCTGACTTTGGTTGTTCTCAGTGCGTACAGGTGAAGGTGTTGCTAGATTTCTTGGGGGCTTAGGGTTCCAGGTTGCAGTTACTACAAATTCCTTAACGATACGCAAACTGATGTGGAATTCGGCCTTTTCTTTTGCACCACAAACAGGTTTTGAAGCAGGCTCACAGCCTGGCAGTCATAATGAACTGAGTGCACACTGACAGTGAATTATGACTTTGTTCATAGAGCTAGCCCATCAGTTAAGGACTAAGGCAAATTGTTGAGCAGCCTGGAAATAGTGTGCTCTTTTCTGGGTTTGTGTGACAGATAAAACAAGGAATTTGTTTCCATTGTGACAATCTGATGCTCTCATATGCAATAAAGAGCCCTACAAATATGTTTGGGACAAAAAGAATAATGTTCAGCATTTATCAGAAGTAAAGCTATTGGATTTTTGTCATTTAGGCAGGATTAAGCAGAATAACAAATCCCTGACTGTTTTGTAATAAATACAGCCATGAAATAGAGTATATACTAACTCAGATATTATAAAACTCTAGTCATACAAAATACTACTCATGAGCTATGTTTATTTGGAATAAATTCTGCTGCGGATATTCTGAAAGAGCATGTGACCATGGTGATTCTTAATGGTAAGAAAACAATTCTTCAATTTTTTGTAAAGCTTTATACAGCCAATTTTTAATCTTTTTTGTTCTAGAGCTTGTATTTGCAGCTGATCCACCTATTATTTCTAGCAGCTGTGACAGGCCCTGCCAGGGTGAAGGGTTTTATTCCTTTTATTCCTAATATAGAATAGATTCCTTTGTGAACTGGGTAGAATTGCTCATATCGCTGCTACAAGGAAGCACCAATGTTTTTCAGGATTAAGAAAATTAAGAAAAGCCAACATCACTACCGTGCTGAGAAGAAGAATTGTCATGCATCTTTTTCAGCTGGTCACTGGCAGTGGATAGCATTTTTGTGTTGGGCTTATTTCCAGCTAGCACATCTAACTCTTCATCTAAATAAGACTTTACAGCTGCACCAACAGCACTCGTATGGAATCTGTTATTTCCCATTTTGTGTTCTGTCTACATTTAATGAATCTCTCCAGGAATTTGAGAAGCAGACGTGGGCTTTCTTGGGGTTTTCAAAAGGTTAACTGCTATATGAAGAAATAGAAAGACAAGACATGAAAAATATCTGTATTAATTTCCTTGCCTCGCTTCTGTCACCACTTTTGGGAGTACTGTCAGTGTTTCAAGGGGAATATGAATATCTGTCAGACATATATCTTCAGCTCTGAGTCCTGGAGCATGTGCATGTATTGAGAGCATGCCTTTCTTTTCCATGTAGATGCCTTTTGTCTGTGACTGGTCCCCGTAGTTGAAAAGCAAAGCAGGGAGATTATAACAAATCTAAGTCAGTGTAGCTTTGAACAGATCAGAAATGTTATTTGAGGTTTGATTTTTCAAAGCCAGCTTGGGTATGAGTGCTTTAATTGCCTGTGCAGTTGGACTGAAAACTGTAAATTGCATTAAAAAACTTTTTCAGATAATCCCAGGATGTTTACACAGAAAAACTTTAAGCCACTTTCTCATCAGTTACTTACATACAGTACCTTATGTAGTTAATGTGCATAACATAATGAGCAAATTAAGCCCAGCGAGGATGACATACCTGTTGTTGTTCTTACCCAGCCAGGGTTCTGAACTGGCATTGCAGGGAAGAGAGCTTGCTAACCATTTCAAGACTGAAGGAACTCCAGTTATGATTGGTAAGTGCTTGACTATCAAAGAATTGCCAATAGAAGAGTGTGGCCTCCCTAAACTGAATTTCATTTCAACTAGAACTCATTCTGTTTACTGTACAAGAGTTAATCAGAACCCTAGGTGAATTAAAAATTATGCTTTTACCATGGAAGCCTTGAAGACGGTAAAATTTATTCTAGCTGGTGTCTTCCCGCTCAGTATTTCTCCCAAGCTCAGTATTAAACATGGTAACACAAGTCAATCTAAGAAGTGTTCTTAAAAACTGCTGTGGAAGTCAGAACTCAAGACCTGACTTCTGTTCTCTGGAGGAGCAGAAGCTCCCCAGAATTTCTATCACAGAAGAGTAGTGTTTGCCTGGCTTTGAAGAGAAGGGCTTTAGCCAAATTCTTGTTAAACCAGTTTTAATAATCTGAAATATTGGCAACATAAGAAATGCTCTTCATTAAGAATGCTGTAACTTTAACTGAACTATTTCCAAGACAGCCATGGTTTAGAAAATGAAGAATATTGAAATAGCACTTTCAGCTTTAATAAATTACCATTTTAAGTTTTCCTAATCTGTACTGGGCACTCCATAAAGATGGTGTCAGATGGGGACCTCTCAAATTAGACGTGCCAGAAGTCCAAAGTTTGGTATGAAATCTTCCCTAGTTGTAGTAAAGATATGTCTGTTAATAATGTGAAGAATCTTATGTAGGACAGCTTCACAATAATTTTGATAACCAAACTAATCTGTTAATTAATAGAAAGTGTTGACATACTTTTACCATAGGCTTGCACATATAGCCAGTGTCAGTGAAAAGCTACCAGTTTGTGTTCCTACTGTTTTAGGTGGAGGTGTTTTGGCTCACACAATATTAGGAGTGGCTTGGAATGAGATTACAGGGCACATCAAGTATTTGATCCTAGACCCACATTACACTGGAGGAGAAGATCTGCATGTCATTTTGGAAAAGGTGAGGCTTGATGCACGTGTATGTAAACACACATTTTGGCATTAAACAAGTAATGTACAACCAAATACAAATTGGCCATTCTATAGCTTCTCCATTCCTTATGATTTCCAGTTAACCTGCACATATGCTACTTACCGTTAGTTTCTGAAATGTAGTGTCTTCAGGAAGATATCCAGTCAGCAACTACATAAAGGTTTTATAGTACAAAGAGATGTTTTCTCTGATTAAAAGTATCTCCTCTTTTACCCAGCAGTACATACAATAAATGTGTTTGGCATTTTGAATGGAACAGAAGAATTTGTTCAGCCTGCAAAATGCTGTTAGTGAAGCAGAGAAGATAACTTATTTAAGTGCCAGCACGAGGCACTCTCAGATCAGGCCTTGAACTAATTCTAAAGGGCAAGTACTGAGCTGTTTCAAAGATGTAGGAAAACTGAAGAATTAAAAAGTATGCAACATTGTTTCCATATTTAAAGCTCCTTAAAAGGATGATGGCACATTACATAACAGTAAAGAGTCAGAAATATAAACTGTGAACATGCCTAAATCATCCTATAGGTGTTAAGTAAGCAACTTCTTTTCTGTTCTTCATATTAAGTTAAAAATAGCAATTTTTATTTCCTGTCTTGATTTGATACCCTTGGGTTTGGCCCAACTAGAAAAGCTGTTGAAGAAACATTTTCCTATAATGATCAAAGCTTCAAATGAACACAGGAAGAAACAATTTCCAAACAACATGTAGACCCAGCTACAGGGTATTCCAGAATGCTCCAATGGGATAAAACACCTGTAGAACACTTTCCCTCTTCAAAAGTGGCAGGGGAGGAGCTCAGGTGGACTCTTGAGTTTGTAGCTCTTTTCTTCAAGAACAGCTCATATAATTACGTGTTACTCAGTAAACTTCAGAGCTTTCTTGGACTGTTTTTCTGACAGATAAGGATCAACAGCACACCTTCTGATATTTAAGAGCTCTGTTTGGCTCTGAAATATCAACTACTACCAAAGGCAGCAAGGATTCAAGGCAAGAGGAATAGAAACTGGGAATGATGACTGTCAGAATGACACTAGTCTCTCTGTAGCAGCAGAAGGCAGAGAGGAGAGGGAAGATTTTTTTTTCAGGAGATGAGCTGTGGTGGGGAGGGAGGAATGGGGAGAGAGACACTGAAGTCTTTTCTCTTAAAGTGTTTCCAGGCATGTAGAGAACCTGCTGGAAATGGCATGTCATTGCATTCTGTAAATGAGAATTCATACTGCTTAGATTAAAATTAGTGAAAAACAATAGATCTGCTAGTAGAAGGTAAGAAGAATGGGATCGTAGTAGATTTAAAAACTATGTTGCTTTTTCTTGGACAGGGCTGGTGTGGTTGGAAGGGCCCTGAATTTTGGAACAAGGATGCCTATTACAATCTCTGCCTACCTCAACGACCCAAAACTATTTAAAATCCACTCTACTGGCTGATCTAGATAATGACTGTTGTGTTAATACTCAAAATCATGCTTCCAGTCAGTCAGAACCCAGGTGAAACAGAAATGTCACTGTTTAAATTAAGAATTTTATTTTTTAATGAAACCTTTAAAAATAAAGAGTTATCTGCTGTGAACCGTATTTCTTACAAATACTTTTATTTGGTAACTAATACCATTCTTTTGGCTAGGACAACTTTATGTTCATACAGCATTTTTATTTTTACAGATTAAATGCCTAATCCTTTTATGTTATGGAATTCTTTCTTGCCAAAAAGACTAACTGTCCTCTGCCTGTCGAGTCCCATAGCACCAACTGCCTTGTGCATGACAAATATAGTCCAGGGTATGATTTGCTGCTGGTACTGTTGATAACATTTGAGGAGTGAGAAAAAAAATGGCTTTTATGAATTTTATGAACTTTGTTCTCACATTTACACAGGAAAAAAATCGAGGGAATTAATTGTTATATACTCCATTTATTTATAGCTGTATGAATAACAACTGTTCTAGGGGAGAAAAACCCAACCAAACAACAAAACACCAACAACACAACAGTCTTCTGTAAGAAGTAAAAACAAACGAGCTTTCATCCTTCTCGGAAGGAGACAATGTACGAGCACATACATACACATCTTGCTGCTCAATGTATAGTCCAGTCATGCTTCTTCAGACTTCAGATTCCCCTTGATTTAATTTTGGGATGACAAGGCATTTTTCAGGAGATCAGATCTGTCATACAAACAAACGAGTAATTCTGTAGCTGCTTTATCAGTACATCAGTAAAATTACCTGGGATTCCACCCTCCTCACCCCACAAAGCAGTCTTTTCCATGGCATTCCCCATGAACTGTCTGGTTTGGTAAGACCATAACTTTAAATACTTACACAAGCTGATCCTTACGAGCAGGCTTCTAAATCCAAGTGCTATGTACCCAACACTAAATTTATTTATTTAAATGATAAAAAGTATTCGAAACTTATTCTGAATTGTAATAAACCAACAGTATTACACACCACCTGATCTTCTCCTCTTCCTGCTTGTGGATCTGGTGGTTCCACCTTGTTTCTGTGCAGCTGGATCCTCTCTCAGCAAGCCATGGTTGTCCCTTGGTGAGTAGCCAGACTGTCCTCTCAGTTTCATTGTCTGAGTGTGCTGAGTTGTCCTGAGGAACCTGGCACATTCCAGAAAGCCGTAAGCCAGGGCCAGGTCTGCTGCTGTTTGTCCGCTGTTGTTGCACAAGCTGAAACAGAGTTAACAAGAACCATTCCATTAAAATGCAATATATGTAATGAGCAAGCACTCTTCAATTTGATTAAGTGGTAACTTCAGATGGAGGTGTAAAGATAAGTACAGAGAACTGATACCAAGAAGGCTTGCCAAGGGTAGCATGGGGCTCGACTCATATGGAGGGTTGGTATTAAATGCACCAAGGAATAAGTGTTCTAAAATCTGTCATTAGACAAATGACTGGCTCAGCATATCAGAAAGGCAAGAGGAGGGTGAGTGCAGCATTAGTCAGAATGGAAAACTTACAAGGAGAACTTACAGTCAGGAATATTCTCTTAGCGGTTTCTGCAGAGGCTTTTAACATGGAACGGAACAGCATATGGTCTGTGCTACTTTGGTGTTTATGGCAGTTTTTCGTACTGGTCTTAATGACAACACTCAAGCTATATTTATAGTCTTGGCATGAATGCTCTGAACAAGGGAAAGTATTTGTAAAATACACGTATCCTCTGACACTTTCTGAAATAACTAAATGTAGCCCAACTTACTCAATTTTGGCATCACCGGCAACAAGCAGAGCAAGACATTCCAAACTCCCAACTCTTGCTGCTTTATGAATCGGGGCTTCTCCAAGGCAATCCTAAAACCACAGTTTATATGTAGCAGTCAATTTGAAGGAAGGGGAATAAAATGAGACTCTATCTTGTTCTCCATCATGACTGTTTATGGAGTGTCTGTTGAGTTGAGAAATATTAAAGGACAATAGCTAGTGAAGTGTACCTGGTAAGTGCCATTAAGTGCTTAGTGTATTCATCACAGCAGAGCAGAAAACCTGTCCCATACAGTACTCGTTGTTTAACCTTTACCTTCTGATAGGTGATGTACACAGAGTATAGCCTGTACACTGATGAACAGCATCTTTCAGCACCATTCAAGGATTGCTGTGACCAATAGCTTGCTGCTACCAGCTCAGAGGTATAGGCAAATTAAATTGCAGCCAGAGGAAGAATCCTTAACATAGACTGGAAGTAGGGATTCGATCTTGGAGGAAAAAGGAATGCTCATTTGTGTAAAAAAAGTAGGTTCTTTTGACATCTGCAATGCAGGATTGTAAGTGAAAATCACGTTATACATAGCAAATGAAATCACTAATGCAATCTAGACAGGATTTCTGGTTCACTGAAAAATAAAGTTATGCTAAAATAAGCAACCCTAGATATCTCATGAAATACAAGTGGTGTGTAATCTTAGATAAAAAAATACTCAAATAATATAAACCGAATTTACTGACATGCCAGGTTAGAAATGGGAGAAAAACTTACGTATTTTACCTGTTGGTTTAAATTCGCTCCCGTCTGCAGTTGCCAAAGTAGGAAGAAGGCTTCCCCACCGCAGGCAGCCAGGTGAGCTGGAGACTGACCAAAGGCATCTGCAGGTGCATTCACAGCAGCTCCTGCCTCCAGCAGATCGCTCAGACTACCGGACTGAAACAGAAGGAAGTAAAAGACAGGATGTTACCGCCGAAGGACGCTGCTCCGTAGCAGAAAACACCCCCTCGCAGACCACCAGCCCGTTACGTTCCTTGAGACTGCCCTGTAAGGAAAAGCAGCCCGAGTCTCCTACCCAGCAGTACTGCCGGACACGGGCAATGTGCCAGCGCGCCCGCAACAGCCCCGCACCGCGCACCTCCGCGCCGCTCACCTCCGCGCCGCAGCCCAGCACCAACATCACCGCCCGCTCTCTGCGCACGCCGCGCTCCCGCCGCGGGCAGCCGGCCCTGGCCCTGGCCCCGCCCCCGCCAGCAGCAGCACGTACGCAACCATGGGCCCGCCGCGGCCGCGGGGTGCCGGTGCTGAGGGCTGGCTGGCGGGCGGGCGGGCGGCGCCATGTCGCGCGGGGTGCTCCGGCACGTCCCTCACACCCGCGGTCCCCCCGGCTGACCGCGCGGGGCACTCGCCATGGCGCTGGCTCGGGCTGCTGCTGGCGAGGGCGGCTCCCACGGTGGTCCTGCCCGCGGGCCCAGGCGCTGGCGGGGGAGGGCCGTATCCGGACCCACCTGGGTCTAGGGAAATAAACCCCAGGGGATTAGCTTGGATTTCCCCTCCCCCAAACCCCTTAGGTCAGCATGCAGAAACCCACCGCTACTGCCTTCCTGCCCGAGCTGTGCCACCGGGATAAGGGGGCTGAATGGGCAAGACAGACTCGGCCATCTCTGAAGCCCAACGCTCAATGCAGCCAGTACGGCACATCCATCCCCAGCCTGAGTGGGACTAGGCCTGGTGATGGGGGATTCTGGGGTCCCCACCTATTGCACTTCCATTCAAAATGCATTTGGAAAAACAGAAACTTAATGTTCACTTCTTTGAGCATTAACTGGCCCGGAGCAGGTCAGACCGTAGAGGCCAAGGTCACAAACAAAGCCTTCCAACCACAGGCCTCTGCACGGGAAACCAGGACCAACCATGGCAACGCTTAAAGACCATGAGAATGCCTGGAATCCGTTCTGAAGGTGGCAACAGTGACGGGTTGGTGAAACCTGCTTCCCCCCAGCAGAGCTTTACCGCTCGGTGTCCATGGCTGTTGGGGAAGGCAGGGCAAGAGAGTGGCATGTCCACACACACGGTAAAACACACTCTACACCACTGTTTGTGGAAGCTGAGAGCAGTCAATGCCATAACTTCCCTTTGCACGGACAGAGCCTTTGCTCACATATTTGACAGTAACTGCCTGTCCTTTCCGTGCTATACAATCCAGTCTGGCAGTGGATTCAATTACCGCTAATGGTACTTCCCCATTACAGGATTCAAGTGAGGAGCATCTTAACCCAGTCAGTGTCTGAGGTATACAGTTTTCTTCCCTTAGCACTACAGTATTTCCTTCTGTCGGATGCCTACATGTTTGTTATGGAAGTTACTCATAATCACTACCATCACTTCAAAAAAAAAAAGGGAAATAAAAAGTTATGTGTTTTAAAAAATGAAATCCCATGGACTTAATAAACAGTTAGGGGAAAAGCAGCCTAACAGTGTTCCTTTGGGGCATATAGAGTTCTGAAATAAACGCACAAACGGTGTGACAATTACCTCCTGCTTCCCCTTTCAGAAAGGAAATACAAATCATTAAGTAGTAGAATATAAACACAGACAATCTCTTTTTCAACAGTGTGTAAATCCAGGTACAAAGGCAATGTATCAGTTCAGCAGAATCATTTTGATGCGTGGATTGACTCCACAACTCGTTAAAGTTGTAAAGTTGGTATGCTTTTTATTCAGCGCTGAGACGCACGGGGATAATTCCTCAAAGTCATGCGTACCTCAGTGTTGTTTCCCTGTACATTTATTCTCTAAAGTTATATATATTCATAAGGTTGCACAATACGCCTATACATATTCATGTCCTATCCCCGCTTCGTATTATAATGAGCCAGAAGGTCCTCTGCGCCTGTGCAGTGCCCCCTCTGGTCATGGGCAGGGGTCTCAAGATGAAGTAAATGAGTCTTCCTCCTCTGGGTAGGGGTCTTCAAGATGAAGTAAATGAGTCTTCCTCTTCTTGCACTTTTCACCTTTTTAGTCTTTATGCGTGGCCTTAGAGTTTGGTCAGTGTCCCAGCCGTAAATCCTCTGCTTCTCCCCTTTATCAGTAGATTCAGGCGTCTGCTTATTAACAGGACCGGAGGTCTCTGTTCTGCTTAGCAGGCATTTACAACAGATAGTCCTTTTGTTTAAACAAATTCCTCTAACCCCTTGTACAACCCCCCTGTACAACCCCCTTGTACAACCCCCCTGTACTACCCCCCTGTACAATGGTCAACCCTCTGTATCAATTTCAGTGAGTTTTCACCTCTCCTTTCATATGGAAATACATGTGTGATTACCAGATTACCAGATACTACCCAACAGCTAGCCCAGCCAATGAGTTAATAAACAAATTAAATCCCTACACTTCCATCTGCAGATTGTAAGGTATGAAATACACAGCTGCACAAATGCCAGAAATCCACAGTCATTGTTTATGCAGTTGCAAAGACTCTTCTGAAAACCACATACCCAGAAGCAGCTTAAGACTTGGATCACCCAAAAGGATGTTTTGTTTTAAAGCCTTCCCTCCCCTGAATGACCTCAGCAATTCCCTGGTGTCAAAGTTGAGGAATCCCATCTTTCCAGCTGAACCACCTACAGAGACTCTGGCATCCTGCCGGCCCCAACTCTCTTCAAATTAACTGTTGTTAATTTGTTCTTGAGCTTCCCGTCACATTTTGCTCACATCATAAGTGCCTGCAAAACTCTTCTGCCGCTGAGTAACTGTTACTTGCATTGGTTATAAACACAGGCAGCTGGTTTGGAATAAAACCCGCTAAAAATCCCTCTGCGCTTTGAATCCCAGGCCACACACCTTGCATAGGTATCAAGAAAATTATACTGGAGGAGCCAGCCCTAATAAACATGTGTAAGCAATGGGATGAGCCAAGGTATGCTGCTGAACCTCGCACCTTTCAGCGCTGAAAGCAGCAACCAGCGTTAACTGCCTTTGCTCAAGGGTACTGCTGCTTCCACAGGCTGTTCATCACCCTGCCTGTTTAGTCCAAGTAATTCATTGATGCTTCACAAAAAGTTTATTTCCTGTAGATTTCTTGGCCTGTATCATCTACACAAAGCAAATCAGGATGAGCTACAGGAGGGCTTGGCAACTAGTCAGTTGGGACTGTTGGATAACGTCATGTGGAGCCCACAGGTTTAACCCCATAAAACCACAAGCATTACCCTCTTGTTCTGTTGCCTCTGTCCCTGTTGCTATAGACACAGAGTGCGCTGCCAGAAATAGCAGGATGATAGTCATCTGGGAGGAAAATAAAAGGCAAAATTAAAATCAAAGCCGGGAATGCAGCTAAGGATTATTTTTAAAGCACTCACGCAGCATTGTGTTGGTGTATCCTTTTTGTAGGAGACAGCCAGAAGCTATCAACAGAAGTAGAAACAATGCCTTACATTTCAGGAGAAATCAGCTTCACACAGCATTTCTCCTAAAATATCTTTGCAACTTTGATAGTGTCTATATGCGGAAAACAAACTGCAACAAATGGCTTCTGATCACTGGGAATGCTGAAGTCTCCATGTGTTAGGCTGTTACACAGCCTCACCACCTTGTAACTGAGCCACATTCAGAGCTTCTGTTGGTTTTGCCTATAATCTCTTCTTGCACAGTATTTTGGGCTTCTGCGTTTAATTTGGTACAGGACTGGCAGGCAGTAGGAAAGATCCAGTGGATGGCCAAACACAGCCTGTCCTAACCCACCATGTATTTTCACATCGTTTAGCACTAGCCAACAGCTGGAAATGTTATTTCCACAGACCCCTGGCCCACATGACTGCTACAGAATCACAGAATGGTTAGGGTTGGAAGGGACCTTAAAGATCATCCAGTTCCAACCCATGGCCATTGGACAGGGACATTTCCACCAGATCAGGTTGCTCCAAGCCCCGTCCAGCATGGCCTAGCGTCTCGTTTCTCGCAGAAAACGGACCAAACCCAAAGGTAAAACGCCAGTGTTACCTTCCCGTCTTCCTCCTTCTGCCTGGTCAGAGGACGTGGGACCACAAAGCCCAGCTACGCAGCAGTGCTTGATACCGCCACAGTGCGGGCTGGGCTGGGTGGTGCTTCGGGACAGCAAGGGGGGCAACTGCCACGCAACCGCCGTTAGCCGACCGACATCAGCCCGCCGCCGCCGGCTGCCTCTAGGCGCTCCGCCGCTCCCCGCCGCCGGCGGCTCGGGCAGCCCGACACCAGCGAGGGCCGCGGCCGCTCTCCCGGCCTGCCGTCACCCGGCGCGGCTGGCGGGCTCGGCTTCCCGCCCACTTGGAGGCTCGCCACCCCGTTGCCCTCGGCCTCCCGCCGGGGCGGGATGAAGCTGCGCAGCGAGCGGCTACCCCTGGCCTACAGCACCCAGCTCGCCCCTGAGGCATCAGGTACGGACCCGGCCCTCGGGGCTGCCCCCTCAGCTGGGCCTGCCGAGTCCCTCAGCCGCGCTGCGTCCCAGCAGGCGCGGTAAGGCATTTCGTGATGTGAAGTGCCCTCTCTAGTTCAGATTTGCTTTTAAGCAATTCCACAGCAAACTGAACCTTCACAAGGTCCTCATCGAACTTTATCCCTTTAATGAAATAGCCCTTTCATCTTGGTCCTTTAAAAGATGCAAACAGAAGGGGACCGCACCAGCTTCAGACCTTTAGTGTGCTTATCGATGCTGTTCTGTTTTGGGAAAATAACCGTAATGTTTGTCAATTTTTAAGCAGAGAACTGCAACCATGCTGCTTTATTTGCAAAAGCTGAGGAGCTGTTGGTGAAGAGAATGGCAAGCGGAGATCCTGTGGCATGGTTTTTGAGAGGACAACTGTACTACGAAGAGGTTGTGGTTTCCTTCTTTTAAGGAAATACTATAAAGCTGACAATTTTTTAATACAATTTCAGTGGTAAAAGAGAGAAAACCTTAAACTAAAAGAGATGCCTGTGCCTGTTTTTTTCCCACGAAAAGCACCAGGTGTTCCCCTACGTAAGTTTTTCCTGCACGGTCCCCAGGCATCTAGTGGTGGCTCCCAAGGATCAGGTAAAGAAGCAGCAGCCTGTCCCTACAGCTAACTTCCAAGCTGAGCTGGTTTTTGGCCAGCTGACTAGCCAACCACCACCTACTGTTTTCAGTTACGTGGTTCTGGTCCCTGACCCCAGACACAGCTTTTGATCTTTGCTCTTTGCTCTCCCTTACCTCACTGCCAGTTTTGAGTTTAGTCTTTGTATAACCAACCCTTTGTTGAGATGTAAAAGCAGATTCTTATAAACCCTCGAGGTATAAGAATATCTCACTTAAGGGAAGTCAGATAGACAGGGCAGGGCATCTGGATTAGACATTTTCCTCCTTGAACAAAAAAGATGGCATCTGGGGGAAGGATAAAGGTGGTCCAGAGAAGATGTTTGCATACCACTGCTTGTTTGGAAGTCCTGAGTGCTTCCACCCTATCCAGCTTTCTTGTGGTTGTTGACTTACTCTTTTTCTGATTTCTACAACTTCTGTAGTTGTTCTATGCAAATTTTTGTTCTTTGTTCATGAGGGAAATGCGCCAAGTTGAAAAACTGCAAGAGAGCATATATCAGAGTGAGGCAGCCATATGTACCCTTTGTACTGTTCTGTCTTTCCCAGGGGTTGTATGAAGAAGCATTAATACAATTTGAAAAAATCAAGGATGTAGATTTTCAAGCAATGTATCAGTTTGGTGTAATGCATTATGATGGACTAGGCACTACAGAAGACCCTGTAAGTAATATAGCTGTATGATTTTTACTTTCCTTTTAATATCAGCTGATGATTACTAAGACCTTCTTTATAAGCTTGATTATTTAGTTTAAAATAAGCAGGTCTTTGATTTACAATTAGTTTCAAGAAGTACAGGTGTTTAAAAAGCATCATTAAAAGATAGAGGGTTCTGAAGTAGTTCTCAAAAATAGCTGTAATAAAATAGGTTCATTTGAAAAACACAGTAATTTGTATTTTCAATTATGAATTTTAAAAGTTTGTGCTGTGTGGAAGCTGTTTTAAAATTGCTATTCGTTACTTATTAATAAGCAGTATATCTAGATGAAAATGTGTAAAAATGGAAATCAAACAACTATATAGTTTTGCACAAAGATGTTTTTTGAGGTACTTTCTAGTCTCTTAACATGGATACTAAAGAAGATTAAGCTTCTGCCAGTGGCTGGTAGCAATATTTTAAAATTAGAGAAAGAATTACATTTTCAAGAATTCGAAGAATTCAAATTGAAGAGTCACATTTCAGAAAAGGAAGATTAATGAATTGCTGCCATAAGAAGAGAGTTTATTGGAGAACATGACTTAAAAGAGTGGTCGGAGGAGAGAATACAAATAGGGTGAAAGAAAGGGTATGTAACAAGATGGGAGGGGAAAAAATAAACAGCATATTAACAGATCAGATTCTTGTGCTTAGAGGATTGTCAGCGGAACAGAAATTATTCTGCTGTTTTTTTAGAGGTGGTTCATTTGTTCTGTATGCTGTATGCCTGCATAATTACCACATAGGTTTGTTTGCAAATAAACATGTCAGAAAAGTTTCTTTCTTTTTTGTGTATTTCAGTATGAGAGAGGTGAGTAAGAGAGGAACCTTTTGCAAAGGACTGTCTCCAGTGCATTTAAACAGGGTGTCCATGCTAAATCCTAAAAGCATAAATCTTGTTTCCGAAATACTTTTGAGTTCCCTGGATGATACACCATACATCTGCTCACATGCAATGTTTGTTCTCCTTATGCTTATTTAACATTATCATTTTTTTGTCCATAATGAATTTAAGGCATTTTTAATGGAGGGACTTAAGAGTGTATTAGTGTTACCACTTTGCCTTTTGTTAAGGTTGTTTCATGACTTCAGATACATTATGCAATATGAGAAAGTTTACAGAAGATCAGTATTGAAAAAGTAGCATGTTTAGGATGTGACATTCATTTATGTAAGTGTATTTCTCAGAAAATTTTTATCAATGAAGAGGAATATAGTATTAGATGAACTTTTATAAGGAAATGTTTCACATTAAAAATACATGACAGCCAAAAATCTAGGGGCTGCCTAGTAACCAAAGATCAGTTCTGCTTTGCTATGACACTGTTCTCCAGACTGTCCTACCAATATGCCTCAGCCTTTCTTCAGTGTGGAAAACTTACCTCTTTTGCAGAACATAGTGGATTGTCAGGATCTTTATCTCATGCTCTTCAGAGTCTGAATGTAGTAACCAAAATGTCTCAATTTTTAGGAGAGGGGAGTGGAATACATGAAGAAAATACTCTACTCTGATTCCCCAAAAGCAAGACGCTTGAAGTTTGCAGCTGCATACAATCTTGGCAGAGCATATTATGAAGGATGTGGTGTCAAGCAGTCAACTGAAGAAGCTGAAAGGTAATGGCAGTCAGTAATTTTCCTGACCAATCTAAGATGCTGTGTTACTTGAACTTTCTTTGTCCCCATTTTCTTAGGTTGTGGCTTTTTGCTGCGGACCATGGAAATCCAAAAGCAAGCATAAAGGCCCAGAGTACTTTAGGAATGCTTTATTCTATGTCAGCTCAAAAAGACCTGAAGAAGGTAAAGGCCACTTGTACCTTTTGAGTTTCACGAGTCCCAGTTAATCTTGACTTTGCAGAAAGATTAGCAGGTTCAAACTGAAACAGGGGAAGTTTAGATTGGATATAAGGAAGAAGTTCATTACTGTGAGGGCGGTGAGGCACTGGAATGGGCTGCCCAAGGAAGCTGTGAATGCTCCATCCCTTGTGGTGTTCAAGGCCAGGCTGAACAGAGCCTTGGGTGACATGGTTTAATGGGAGGTGTCCCTGCCCATGGCAGGGGGTTAGAACTAGATGATCTTAAGGTCCTTTCCAACCCTAACTATTCTGTGATTCTATAATATATTTGTCTCTGAAAGCTGTATTTTAAGTACTGCTAGGCATTATTATCCAAGTCTGTATGAACAGATGGCCAGAATCACTCATTTTGACTAATTTGACACTGCTGGCCAATGTGTTTTGGTGGTGGTTTTTTTTACTGGGAGTAACAGGGAGAACTGGTATTGGAATAGAATGGATTTCAGTTTTGTCAGCTTTGGTAACCTTCAGAAACCAAGATGTCACTGATGATAAATGAAGCAGGTTTTAAAGCCTTACAAGGATTCTGCTTTATGTGCAAGCATTTCTTACAGGATGGTTGATATAAGAGTGTTTATGTAAACGCTATGGAACAAAGTAGCTAAAGTAAATGTGTACTCCAACTTTGTGCCTCTTCTTTAGGCCTTTTTCTGGCATTCAGAAGCATGTGGCAATGGAAGTCTGGAATCACAGGGAGCACTCGGTGTTATGTATCTCTATGGACAAGGTATAGGTCAAAACGCTAAGGCTGCTTTGGAGTGTTTGAGAGAAGCAGCACAACGTGGCAACATCTATGCTCAAGGTCATCTTGTAGAATACTATTACAATAGAAAATTTTACTCAACAGCTGCTGCAGTAGCCAAAAGGTGAAAATAATTTTGATTTTTTATGATGATTCTTTATGTAAGACCACAGTGCTCAGATTAAAATGATTAATAAGTTCATGCTCTTGTCTCTCAAACTCGGGAGATGTTTGAGATACTGAACGGCAAAACCTCATGTAGAAGAGGGAATAGCAACTCAGTGACAAAATTAATACTGTAAGGTTCCCACCACTTTTCTTTCTGATCCTGTGAAGCAAAGCAGCCTTGAGCTAGAATCTTAAGTAGACCAAGCAGAAGCCCACATGCAACCCTGCTTTCCATGTCTCCTCAGTCCACAATCTCTAGGCTTCACCACTCCTTTTAAACCCCTACCATTATAGAACCCCAGGTTGGAAGGGACCTCAAGAATCACCTGGTCCAGCTTTTCTAGGCAAGGCATGACCTAGACTAGATGTCCCAGCACACTTTCCAGCTGAATCTTAAATGTTTTCAGTGTTGAAGAATCCACCACTTCCCTGGGGAGATTATTCCAATGGCTGATTGTTCTTGTGCAAAATTTTCCATTTATATCCAGTTGGAATCTCCCCAGAATTAACTTGCAGCCATTACCTTTCATCTTTTTCATGTGACTCCTTGTAAAAAGGGAGTCTCTGTCTTATTTGTAGCCACACTTTAAATGCTGGAATGTGGTGGTAAGGTCTCCTCTGAGCCTTCTTTTCTCAAGGCTGAACAAAGCCAGCTCTCTCAGCCTTTCCTCATAACAGCAGGCTTCCCAGTACTCTGATAATCTTTGTGGTCCTTCTCTGGACCCTCTCCAGCCTGTCTGCATCTCATATAGCAGGGACCAAAACTAAATACAGTATTCCAGGTGTGGCCTGACAAGCCTCGAGCAGAGTGGGATGATGACCTGTCTCTGATGTTGATGCCCTTGTTGATGTAACCCATCATCCTGTTGGCTTTGCCAGCAGCTGCACACTGTTCACATATATTGAGCTTGTCCACAAGGACCCCCAGGTCCCTTCCCACAGAGCTGCCACCCAGCTAGGTAGATCCCAGCCTGTGCTGCACTCCTGTATTATGTTTTCCAGGTGCAAGACCTTACACTTGTCCTTGTTGAACTTCATAAGGTTTTTGTTAGCCCACTCTTCCAGCCTAGTCAGGTCAGCCTATGGGGTGGCTCTCTCTTCCAAAGTGTACGCTTCCCACTTAGTTTGGTATCATCAGCAAACTCCATTTGGGTACACTTGATGCCATCTTCCAGATCACTTACGAAGCCATTAAACAAGTGTTGGGCCCAATATTGATCTTACAGAAGCTGCATCCTGTACATGCCATTCATAGCAGCAGGTCTGTTTTTGTCTCCTTTTGCACTGCAAGGAGACTAACAGCTATTCAGTATAGTCTAGCATGTCCCTCTTGGAATGCATCCCTTTTAGCCAATGCTGAATGGTACGTTATCCAGGCAAGTGAACAGTGCATTTCATCAGCTGCAACTGTAACTGCAGAAAATAGCAATGAAATCTGATACTACAGGCAGAAGTGCCCATTTCTGAACCAAGAGATACTGACACCATATTTGAAACAGTTCCACTTACCTGAGATTGCAGTTAGCCTTGTGGCAAAAATCTCAGCAGTTCAATCAGTTGTATCAATACCTTTTCTGCTAAGATTTGTCTGTGTTCATACCAACTACATGGTTTGTTACATACAAACAAGTAAACCTTTGTTATGTACAAACATCCAAGCGTTATGTGATTATGTACAGTATAGCATTTCCTAATATTATGAGACTAGATTAGCTACTAGTATTTCACTTTAAGTAACAATTTTGTTGTCCTGTACACTTCTACTTACCCATTGCTATGGTATGAAGTCAACCATGCTGAACTAGAATTTTTCGCCTGTCTTAACTGGGTATTGTTATTTGCATCAGCATCCTGTTGTGTATCTTTTGGAGAAGTAAAAAATGCTATATATCAGAAAGATAAAAGAGGCAATAAGTTACCACTATTATAGTTGAATGGTTTTGCTAATAAGTCATTGAGGTTGTTGGTTTTGGGGTTTTTTTTTTGTCTTTTTTCCTATTTTGCTGCTGCATTTGTTAATGGGACCAAATTAAGTGGGAGAATACTGCTCTGAACAATCAAATGATTTAATAGGCACTGAGGGCAGAGGGCTAGTTCAGAACAATCTTTCATACACTGATTTATAGGGAATAGCTATAAATTCAAATGACTTGCACTTCTTTTTCTTCTGTCAAGCATATTATTACTCTTTGTGTCTGGAAAGGATACAGGGCTTGGGGGGCTCTGTTTTAAGACAACAGCTAGGAAAAATATCAATTCCCACTTTGAAATGTTGTACCTAGTACTGCAGCAACAACAGGAGATCATAGCCTGCCAGTGAAAACAATGTTCACTTCGTCCCTCTGATTCTTGAAATGGTTCTTGGTAAAAACAAGTTGAAAATAAGGCGACAGTAAGCAGAGATGCAGCATAAAGAAAGTAACTGAGCTGAAACAGTTGTAAGTGGTTGTCAGAAGTGGGTTTTACAGTCTGAGTCTGTCAGGTATGACCAAGATCATCACGTTACTATGATTTTGAACTTGGAATTTTACAATCACGGAATCATGGAATGGTTTGGGTTGGCCCTTTACAGATCATCTAGTTCCAACCCCCCTGCTGTGGGCAGGGACACCTTCTAACTAGATAAGGTTGCTCAAATGAATTGGAAAGCTCTGCTGTTCCTCCAGAAACATACATTTTTTTCCATAAAGTATTTTGTTGGGAAAAATTAAAGTACGCTGCCTTTTCTAAGTAGCATAACTATAGTGAAAGTGACTGCAGAAGTTATGTACTTGTTTTTGCTTTAATGTAACGATATTCGAATAAGACTAATTTCAGATACTGAAGAATCCTCATTAGGTTGCTGAATAAATATACATTTCAGCTTATTTTGGATAATGATGGAAAGGAGGTGGTGTCAAGTCATATATGGTTTACTTCAATTAGTGCTTGAGGTAGCATTACCTAAGCTAACGCTGTAAATTCCACAGCAGAATTACAGACCATGATGACATCAATACGCTAGCAAAGATAACCGACTGTCTTCCCGCATATGTTGCCAAGGGGGTTGCCATGGCTGCTTTCTACTTGGGTAGATGCCTCCAGCTTGGCCTAGGTGTACAGCAAGATCAAGCTGCTGCTTCAAAACACTATTCTAGGGTAAGTTGGGAAAGTTTTAAGTCTTTAAATGTGTCTGGAAAGACTAGTTTATGTCTCATGAAATTGAGTGATACCTTGGGTTTCAGTCTTTAAACTTGTTTGGTTAAAGACTCCAACATCATGTTAAAAAAAAAAATTGTGCAAGAAAATGAAGAGTTATAAAATTATATCAAAATCTACTAAAAACAGTCTGAAAGGATGCCGTCTGCCCACTTGCTTAAGCAAATATTGCATTATGGTAAATGTCAAAAAAACATCTGTGGAAACTACCACAGCAAAGAGCTTGGTATCTTGCAAGATAGATTAGCTAAACCATTTGAATAATCTTATCCCAAATTGATGTCTCTGACATTCCCTCAAACTGGAAAACCCTAAGTTTTTCTCTACTTTAGATTCTCTTAACAATTACAACCATCATTAACAGTGCTGAAGTCAATCATACCTGGCTGTCATACTTGGTTTTATGTTTATATTTTAACAATACCTGAAGATCTACTGTTACTGAGACACAGGGGCAAAAATAGGTCACATTGTTTGAAAATTCTAAAGTTGAAGTAAAATGTCTTGCTTGAAGAAGATCAACAGCGGCTTCTAGGCTACTAGATAATATCAGTGATAGCTAAAGGTACAGTCAGGGCAAGATGATTACGCCAACTGGAAGGAAGTGTAGCAAGATTGGATCTCAGCTTCAGGAAGATTATATGCTTTCTGTTCATGTAGAGACCATTTGTTTCAGCAAGTAGAATACTTCATGTCCAGCTTGGTGCAATCCAAATAAATGGAGAGTTATGTAAATGATAAATTATCAAGTAATAATTTTTGTGGCTCCTTACTCAGGGAAGCCAACAGACTTAGCAGAGAAGAGGTGGTCCTCTGAATGCATACTTTTTAAACATTTTATTCTGCTGTGAAAAGTGTTACAGAGGATAGGATGAGGAGGAGAATGGGAAAGGAATATAAACTGCTGTTAAAAATGCTGTAGGCAGCAGTCCAAGTAAGTGTTAGGGACTTTCACTCATCATTCACTACCTGTACATCTGAGCCTGATACAGGAAGTCTGCTGCCCTCTTAGTATAAAGAGAGATGATTTCTCTTGATTTGTGGCATGCATCTCCACTCAACAACAGAAGTAATGGAAAATAAACAAGGAAGCTACCTGAAGCAGTAACTTCAGAACAAGTAAAAGACAAGAGCTGTGGGTGTGTTCAGTTCCTTTTGTATGGAAAATAATTCTTGTGTTAACTGTACAATTATACCCACTTAAAATCAAAATCTTGTTTGCTTTTTTAATTAACTGCTCAGCTGTGGTTTTGGCCTACCTTCTAAGACCCTGTCAGTTCTGAAAGGCAAGAAAGAGAAGATGGGCATTCCAGGGAATACTGAAAAAAAGGGATGCAAGTGAAGTAAACTGATCCTGCCTGTGAGCAGATTTAGGGTTTTGACTGTGGTGGCAGCACATGCCATATCAACAAAGAGAATAAAAAATTAGAACCAACACTACAGTCAAGTATGTTCATTTTAAATACTCATTTTTTTTCTTTAGAAAAAGGGATTTAAAGCTGAGTAGCATATTAACTCTTTAATATTTTAACGAGTTGGTTAACTTTTATTGTAATTATCTGAGATAAAGACCTTATTAGTGTTATATTGATATTGACAACATACAATTTGACTTTAGCCATAAACTAGAACTGCCTGTTCTTTGTTTTCAAAGGCATGTCTTCTGGATCCTGATGTTGCTGCTGACCTTCAGCTGGCAGCTAATCTTGGGAAAATTTAGCATTTCCTTTAGCTGTGACTGGTATATGAATGTACTACCACAATAAACCATCTTTAATCTGAAGCAATTACAGAGTGTTCATCACTTACTGCTTGCTTTCCAACTTTAGAGAAATTACTATTTAAAGCAATCTACTGACTCTTTTATATCTAAAACCACAGACAAAGTAAAAAGCTCACACTCTAACTGAGATGAGGCAAAGGCAGACTTAAAAATTCTATCGAAGACTTACAGTTTATTAAGGACATTTTACTGGGGCAGATGTCCTGTGTTTTCTTCATGTCATACTGCCATAAAGCATGTGAATCAAACCAAAACCAAATAAAAATGGTTGTTCCCTTTTCGGCATTTTTAATATTTAAACATTCAATTTTAATACTATGAAAAGCGTGAACCCAAACTCGTCCACTTTTCACATTCAGCCCGTTCACAGGTCACAGCCATTTTTAAATCTTACCTTTGTTCTGTGCAGACTTTCTTTCACATGCTTTTCTAATGCACCTAGATCTACTTGTATCTTAACACATTTTATTCTTAGACTGCAGAGGTTTCAAGTTGGAAAGGCCTTACACAGTTCAAACCATGTGGTTTAAGCCCAGCCAGTAACTCAGAACCGTGAAGCTGCTCATTCACTTTTCCCCTTTCTCCCTCCCCGCTCCCGAACACATCAACTTCTAAAACTAGAAAATAACACTTCCAGAACTATAGATAAAAAATGTTAGCATGGAAATATTCAATATATGTCCTCTGAACAAGGCCTGTTCTCCTCAACCTTTCATACTTCATTTAAGTTGCCTCTGGTAGTATTAGCTGAAAACCTTCTGGCTGGGAGTGTGTACACCCAAGCAATGTTGTGCTGAATCTCTTATCAAAACTTACTTTGATCATCCACTAGTAAATTTTACTGATGGCTCGTTTCTAAATACCTATTTACTTGTAAAACTTTATATGTGCAGAATTTGTCTTGCTTCTTGGGATTGTGCCATGCATGACTTGAAAACTGTCCTGAAACTGCTGGAACAGACAGACAGATGTTACTAAAAAGACTGATTTAAATATACCACGAATCTTACGTACCTTAGCCAGTCTTAACTGCAAGGAGTTCTTCTACGAGCACAATTGTACTGAATGTAAAATAATGAGTGTCGCCTAGGAATTTTTGATGAGGTTTAATTATTTAGATGTGCATTAAGATATTATTTGCATATCTTTACATAAATTAAAAAAACACTGAAGACATCATTTTCTTTCCTTGTATAAAATAAGGTTGTTTGAGTTGAAGGTTGTTTGAAATTGGGGTATTTGAATATAACAGCCCTGAGTAATATCAGGGAAGTTATTAGAATGGTTTAATTAAATGTTGACTTAATCTTTCATAGAAGCAATTCATAAGCACTAATCTGTGAACTAACATTTAACACAGGCATCCTGTTAGGACATACCAGTTTACAACACATTTTTGACACAGACTTCGAAGTGACGCAGATACTCCTTATGAAACCAGTGCTGTCAAACTCATTCATTAGTTGTCAGTACAGCCTCGTTACCAAGTACTGCAATCCAGCTGAGTTATTTATTGCTTACAAATGCTTCAAACTACAGAAAATCTTTGGTAAAAAGAAAATTGGTAAAATTTTCACAATAGCTTTACATGTAGTATTGCACGACAAGGCTTTTTCAATACACAAGAAAAAAGGAATGCTGAAATCCTCGGTGAGGAGATTAGAACTGTACAACATTCATTAATTTACCACTATAAGCAAAATTTCTTTTCATAAATGTTTAAAATATTTTCTGGTTTCTTTCACCTTATATGAACATTTATTTTTCAATCTATATTTTGAACAGAAGAGTAGTCAAATAGAACCATTTAAATAAAAATTGGCAACTATACAGCATTGTCTTGTCTACCCTACTACAGCATCAGATCTTTTCAAGTCTGTTTACTTCACAAAAAACTCAAGAAGAAAGAAAAACGCTAAAAATAATCATAGTCCTCAGCCCTCTATGGAATAGAGGAAAATAAGTTTCATGTCTATTATTGGACATAGACATTTCTCTAGTGATCCAGTTGTGCAGATTCAAACCTAAGTGGCATTAAGCTGCTCTAAATGAGCTCTTAGCTCAGGACACAGTTCAGTTAGCAGCAGTTCCAGCAAAACCTGAAAAACAGAAATGAGTTCAGGTAAGTACAGGTGCCAAATGAGAATTTCTCCTTCCTTTCTGTCATGTTCAGAGCACCACAGATAAGAAAAGCATGAAGGGTCACTACTTATCACTCATGCAATTCCATTTCTTTCAGCCTAGAGTTAGCTTGAGGGCTGCAGATAACACAGGAAATGCCTTAAGGCTAAAAGAGGGCAAGTGCCACAGGGACAGCTGCCTTCATTCAGATGAGGATTTCCCACCCTGCATAAAGTGGTGCTGTTGTGTCAAAGCTGCAGCAGCTCCATCAGGAAGCACCAGGGCATGTGCTGCCTGAGCATGCCAATGCTGTTACCAGCTGCAGCAGCAAATGAGCCAGAAGAGACTGAGGGAAAAGGTGGTAGTACACTTGGGTCCAGCTGCATACTCCAGTCAGTCCCAACCAGCAACAAAGGAGGCCTGTCATATCCTAACTGTGAGCCAAACCTGGAACTTTCCTTCCTTATGATTCTCCAAGGTGTCTATTTTCCTCAAGTATATGAAGAGATAAGTTTATACCTCATGAAGTCAGGCAAGCTGAGTGTGGTAGAGGATCTCTCTTAGACAAAGGCAATACTTGTTTTTAAACTTAAACAGCTTCTTGTTATTCAAAATGAGTCACATGAGGTAACCAAGTACATTTCTTCTGACTTTAATAACCAAAAACATTACTTGCACACAGAACAAAAGTCTAACAAATTTCTGCAAAAACCCCGTGCTCTAATACAGCAGAGCTCAGCAATTAACAGGAGTATAAAGTTAAAAGGCTATTTTTCTGGTTACTCACATAGAGTAGATGCTTGTTTGCCTTCCTTTCTTGCAATGCATTGAACACTTTCACTACACCATGGCGAGCATTTTGTTGTCCAACAAGACTCTGCAGAGTATCTGCAACAAATATTAATTTAGCTTAGTGTTTCACTCATGCTAGGCAAAACCTCCAGCTAACCGTACCACCCACAAAGGAGAGGAAATAAAACCACTGCACTTCATGGCCCATGGTTACAAGATACATAGCCCCCATTCACCAACCTTTTAACAACATAGGTGTGTTAGGTCAGGTCAAAACCACTCAATCTCAAGTTACCACAGTTTAATAAGGGTGTATGCATCTCAATTACAACATTTTTAGTGTTTTAACATGATATATAGAATGCCCTTTAGACAGTTCACCTCTCAGAGTCAAGTCTAATTTCATACATTATTAAATCATTCACTTAAACACACCTTCAGCCACAAAGACAGAATTACCTTAACAGTTAAAACAGATTCAGATTGCCTCTTAATAGTCACAGAAAATACTTCCCACAGGTAAGTCGATTACTTATAATTTGGATTAGACAATAGTGATCCAGTGCTTCATTAATTTAAGGGACATTCAGCTGTCTCCTGACACATCTCTCCAAACTCAGAAACAACAAAACAGAACCACAAACCAGCTATAGAAGCCTGTACTAGGTTAAGTAGGTGAGTATCTAACAGAGAGAGTAAATGACAAATACTTTGCATGCATGCCTGCTGCTGTTTTCGCAGTAAAAGTCAACTAATGGAAGGGGTGTCTGAGACATCTCAGCCATAAAATAGCTCATTAAAGTACATTCTGTTCAGCTGGAGGCGAGTATCTTGGGTTCAGCTGTAGCAGTTATTTTTCTCCTTCCTAGTAGCTGGTGCAGTGCTGTGTTTTCGACTTTAGTCTGAGAACAACGCTGATAACACCCTGATGTTTCAGTTGTTTCTCAGTAGCACTTGCTCTGATCAAGGACTTTTCAGTCTCTCATGCTCTGCCAGTGAGGAGGGGCACAGGAAGCCAGGAGGAAGCAGAGACAGGCCACATGACCCAAAGTAGCCAAAGGGGTATTCCATGCAGCTGCACATCATGGCCAGTGTATAAACTGGGGGAGTTACCTGGAAGGCCCAGATTGCTGCTTGGGTCAGGCTGGGTATAGGTTGGCGGGTAGTGAGCAACTGTATTGTGCATCACTTGTGTTTATTGATTCTCCATCTATTCCCCCCCTTTTTTATATTCTCACCCCTTGTTATTTCCTTTATCATTACTAGCAGTAGTTTTGTTTCCTAACTGGTTACTAAACTCACGATTAAGCAGACTGAAAGCGATCTCACCTGGAATGTTTTCAAGTAGTTTTTGCTGTGCTCTCTGTTTTGTCTCTCGCTTTTGTTCATCGCTCTTGGCTCTTGGTGGTGGAGCTAACTTGCCATTTGGCCAAAAAGCATCTCGAAACACACCAATGTAGTAAACAAGCATTGGTTCACTGAAAATCCAATGTACAGTGTCACGGATTTGCCTGTGGAGAAGTACAGAAAGGACTATATCTTTCATGTTTTAGGCAGATTTATTCTTTTATTCCTGAAAGTAGTGAAAGTGATGCTCATTTTCACATAGTTACCCCAAATTATGATTTCACCTGCATCACAGCAACTTAGATTCAGCTCTGGGTTCTCTAGGATCTAGGTCACTCCAGATACCTGACTGAGATGTGGAGAAGGCTACATTTCAATGTAATCCACAAACACAGACTACAAATTACTACATATATTACAAATTACTACACTGAAACTATATTTCAGAAATGGGCCCTACAAAAGCTCCACTGGGAAAAGACATAAAAATTAATTAATTGTGGTAAACTCCAAACTAAATGCATGCTAGATTTATCCCACCATGCCTGGTGGGATAAAAACAGATGAAGTTTTGATAAAAGCACAGGAAGTTCCCTCACAGCAACAGCACGTCAGAGAGGGGACTACAAACGGAGATACCAGCCTCCTCCTGTAGCTGCAGGCACTCACTTGTAGCCTTCAGCACAAAGAGTCTGAGGTAGATAGGCTCCAGGCTGGGCCAGAGTACAGCCAAACGCCTTAAGA